TGTTTAAATAAGGGTGTTTGTTTAGGCTTATCTGCTAATCACAAATAGACACACACAAACACACACAGCCACACACACAGCGTATTCCCTGCTTTTGGAGGAATGTTCTCTCTTTATTTACCACTACCGCCCATTATTCAACACCTTTGCACATCTCGACGCCTCTTCAGTTTGACCTTGATCAGACATCCTCTCGTCACCTCCTTTGTTGTGTGTTACATCCTGATTCCTTTTCCAGAGCGTGCTCACAAGAGCACACATGCCCCAGCTCATTTCATTCACCCGGAGCCTCTATTAAAGATGCACATTTCATACAATATCACTATCTCCACTACGGCAACTGCCCGCTGCATGGTTCCCTGTACCTTTACAGTTCCATATTTCCTGCATCTTATCTCAGATTGTGACAGCATTATTTACAGCCCCATGGCTTAGGATTTGCAGATCGGGAGAGTGGTGGTGGTGATAATATCGGACATCGTGGTCTATGGGGGGATGATTGGTGTGTATGCATATGGCTTAATCATCTGCAGTCAGAACAGGGAGCACCGACAAGGCAACAGACAAAAGTGAAGGGGGCAAAGCGCAAGGCCGTTGGATTAAGTTGTAAAGAATGATTAAATAAAAGAGACTGAAAAAAAAAAGAACGATGCATAATGACCCCTGATGGTGAAAAGAGAGAATTAGACAGACGGGGAGCAGTGAGCTCTACAAATGTCTCTACTCAGTCCTCAGAGGAGCAGGAGCCATAGGCAACGCCAGACGGCCATATTTTTTGCAGCTGTTTCCCTGATTTGACCTGCAACCTCCCAGAGGAGGAATATGAGGAATAAGTGTGAACCTGCTGCTTCCCTACCTGCTGAGGGGGTAATTTCTGCATCTGGATAGGGATCAGAGGTTACTGTTGTCCAATGGGAGGGCAAATGAGTGAGTCAGGGCTGATAAAGAAGCTTGCATTCAGACCAACGGAGCGCGTCTCCTTTCCCTTTGTAACATTATATGGTGTGGCATTATCCATCTTCTGCCCTCAGCGTCAGCAGCTGCACAAAACATCAGCATACAGAATAGGTTCCTTTTTTTTTTTTGGTGACATATATACTGTCACTGTTCTCTGAGGGAGGGATTGAAAATGGCGTTGTTATAATAGCACTCTGTTGGATGAAGCGCAAAGTACTCAAATGAAATAACATCATAGCTCGGAGCTACAGCTCTGCAGCTCTCCCAGTTTTTCCGTGTGTTTGTGTGCACATGCATGGTTTATTTTCTAATCAGTGTGGGTAAAAGGTGGTGGGTCTGCGTGATATTGTATGGCCATGGGCTCTGGGCTGCTGTGATATCGCTCAGTGTTTCTTAGACCCTGACCCAGGAGAATATCTTTAAAAGCTGAAGTAAATGTAAGGCGAATAAATCATTTGCAGTATTACGAAAAGAAACAAAGCCCTGCAGCTTATTTTTCCACAAATGTGTGTGTTGTTTTCTGTGTGTTTAAAATGTCTGTCAAAATGATGCGAATGTCGAATCCAACTGTGAGGGGAAAAAATTAGATACTAGGCATCAGTCAGTGGTGTCTTGGCAGTGAGTGCAACCTTTGTAAACCCAAACTGGGCTTGCTGCTGTAGGTGAATGTGTTTGTCAGCACTTATCTCAGTATGCTGGCTGGAAGCTTCAGTCAAGGCCCCCCACTAATCTTTCAGACAAGCGGTGTCACCCTCCTGTGAGTAATACCTCGGGTAGTACACGAGGGCACGCGGTACAAAATATCCCCTCTCATCCCGTCCTTGCCCTGCCACCTCTGTGCTATAATGCAGGTTTGTTTCTGCTGCGCTGCGTCTGCTGATTCGTCCTGCTGCTGCTGACTGAGTCTATCATTGCTACAAACACAAACACAAAAAGGCAGACCTCCCTAATTGTTGCTGCCACAGCGCCCCCAACGTCGAGCAATCTGGCTCACAAAGAAACCGTGTGGGCGTCTCGTTTATGTTTTTGTGTGTGTAGGCACCGACTTCTACTGTCAAGCCCTCGGCTGTTTCAAAGTGCACGCTGCAACCTGAAACCCTCTCCTAAAAAAGTTCAATGTGTTGAATCGGTGCCAGCTGAAAGTAGCTCCAAATTTGCCAAGCTTCACCCCTCCTCCCCCTGCCTGCTGCTCCACCGACCAAATCAACACACACTTTGGGTGAATAAATAAGCAAATAATGTACAAGGAGCAAAAACAGATTACATTTTTTTTTCAGATTATGGGTTCTTTTTAGCCCGCAGTCAGATCGACAGATGCAGCACTTGCCAAGAGAGAGGTGTGAATGTAAAAATATATAAATATTAATAAGCAAGTGAGCTCGGCAGCAGAGTTTAGGGCCTGCTGCAACTCCACAGGAGGCGAGATGTTTTCCGTGGAAGAGGAGTGGAGTGTTTCTCAGGGATAGAGAGTCAATTACCTTACATCTGTTAGCTGACTCAGGCCTGAGTGCCCTACGGGGCTTCATAGTTGCAGGCGGACTTTGTTGTCTGAGAGAAAATGTACAGAACCATTTAATGATTCACTTTTATCAAAAAACACCTCACGCTGACTAAAAGAATGAACAGCAGCAATATCACGACAATAAAAGAGTCTCCAACCTTTTAGTCCACTATCCCTGTCCCTCTGTCCAAGCTATTGAATTTCTTACAGATTAAACTCACGCACTATCCCTGTCCCTCTGTCCAAGCTAGGTAAAGGTAAAGTCGTGACATCACTCCTTTCAGCCTTTTGACTTGTCTGTTAACTTCATAGCTAGTTGCTATTGCTATTTATTTTCAGAAAATGAATGTCAAAACTATATTCTATACATTTTGTAACTTCATAGCTAGTTGCTATTGCTATCTATTTTCAGGAAATGAGTGTCAAAAATTATTTTTTTATATATATATTCTATACATTTTAATGTTTTATGGTAGAGGATAACACAAACGATACTTAGATTAGTTTTTAACTTTGCTTCGTAATATATTTGCTGAGGTGACTGTTCATCTATTTAGTCTAATGTTTTATGGTAGAGGATAACACAAACAATACTAAGATTAGTTTTTAACTCTGCTTCGTAGTATATTTGCTATATTAGTTTACATGCAGGAAGATAATAACTAATTACTACCTACCTCAGAATGTGTGTTAGTACAACTATAATCATAATTTAAGTTCTATATTTATTATAGATATAATTTAAATAGGCTAGCTGCTTCTAACCTAGTGCTGTTGGTGATTTTCCCTCTATTTATTGCATGTATTTTGAGTCCAGCTTAGAGATGCTTTTACTGTGACGTAATAATAGAGTTTATTATTATGTTGCATTAGACAGCTTGGAACGAGCATCTCACTAATAGATTTTGTTTTGTGTTACAATGAAAATCCCATGGGTGCTGTCAGCAAAGAAAGGACAAAGACAATTAAATCTGATGTAATCTTGAGAACAACAGGCAGAGAATGGTCCAAAGCAGCCTATTATTTTAAACATGTTTGCTTCTGTTTGTAATGCTAATACAGAGAGCTCAGCGGTGGTTGTGCTTGTTATGCCCAACCTGACCAGGGGGGCCGCCACACTAAAGCTGCCTAATTACATTAGCTCTGCAGATTAGAGGGCAGTACTGCCTAGGAGGGGGCAGTAGAAGAAAAGAAAAAAACTACCTCCACACCCTTTTGTTATTATTTTTTTATCACCCAAATGTCGAAATTTCATTTCAATTCATGTCACACAAGAGGCCCTCTCTGTATCCCTGTGCATCTCCAGGATAATTGGGTTGAAAGCCCCCGCTATTTCTCTTCCCCTCTTCCACTTGGTCTAAATAAATAAATAGCAGGACAATAACTGCGTGGCTTTCTGTAGAGAGGGGAAGGAGAATGATTGAGGAGATGAGAGAAGCCTGGACCACAGGGACCAGTTATCCCCTCTAATAAACCTGGCCCTGCCTGCCTGTGTCCCCTGTGCCACATAGAATTTACATAAAAACCTGTGGCACTGCCCTTTATTTAGCCCCCTCTCAACGCATCTTCAAACATCCTTCAACACGCTGACTTCTTTTATCCATGAGAGGAGACCACACGTCCCTCGCTGCAGCTTAGATGGACACGCGGCGTTTCAAAATCCTGAAGTGCTCAGATTGGAGCTGTTGTAGATGAGTGGACGAAGAACCGTTATTGTAGAGCGGAACAACAGAAGGGAAGCCTGTGTGGCCCCAAACCCTGGCCTCCTCAAAGCTTACATTGTTTTACATTTTCACCCACTGAGGTGGCAACTCTGTCTTGCTTTGTCCATACCATTAATGGCGGTCTTTATTTCTTTAGCCTGTAAAAAGCACGCGTGTTGCACCATTAAAAAAACAAGAGTTTTTAAAACGTGGTGCCTGATAATCACGGCTCTGTGGCTTTACTATACCATAAAGCTGTAATTAATAGTTCAAAATAATTCCATAAAACACAGCTCAGCCTGTACATACGCTGCTCTTCCACCACATTAAAGCCAGTAACCTGCATTATTATAATGTCAGACGAGTGTGTACTTTGCACTCGTACGTGTTCTCGTGTGTAACGTCAGTTTTGGGAGTCTAAGCTCCATTCAGGTTGACAGCAGCTTTATCCATGATTGAGAGGTTTACCTGAGGGTGATACAGGGTAGCAGTTATTCATTGTGCCACCCACTGTGTGTATTTGGTAGTAAGTGTTAGTACATTGTATGTACATGCCAGCGTTTGTCCCATGAGTTCTCACATGTGAATGACATCAGGCTTCAGGGCGTTCTGTCTCTGTTTGTTCTTCTACCTCCAGTGGGACCTGCATTAGCAGCAATTAGCTTTTATTTGTGCCTACTGTGTCACGTGAAGCTTTACATTCCATTAATAACTACGGTGAACACGGCACACTCCAGTGCTGTGTAGTACACACTGTCTAATACACATCTGCAGTTTGGGACTCAAACAAAAATGATTGCACTCTTGCTCAACAAATTCCTCTCCCTGTCTCTCCTCAGTGCTGCGAGATGACTTCAGACAGAACCCTACAGATGTCGTGGTGGCAGCAGGAGAGCCAGCAATTCTGGAGTGTGTTCCTCCCCGAGGCCATCCAGAACCCACAATCTACTGGAAAAAAGACAAAGTGCGGATCGATGATAAGGATGACAGAATCACTGTAAGTTTTACGGCAGTCGTTCTCACAAAAAACCCTCAGCCTTGGCTCCCATGTAACACAGTCAGATTGTGTTTTTTAGAGTACTTAATCAGTGTCAGTGATTTGATCCATTTATACATTTATGAAAAATGACTAAAAAAAAAAAAAATTATTTTAAAAATCAAACACCACAATGAAATATTTCTTCATTTCGTTAATTATCTGTTTTTATAGGTAGTGGTCAAACAAATATACCTACTTACTTACCTACTCATAATGTCCTTTCTTCTTTCAGATTCGAGGAGGAAAACTAATGATCTCCAACACAAGAAAGAGCGACGCTGGAATGTACATCTGCGTGGGCACCAACATGGTCGGAGAGCGGGACAGTGAAACGGCACAAGTCACCGTGTTTGGTAGGTTTGATTTCACTTATTTATTGCTCGCCCTCCACAGTTGTAGCAACCTCAGTACATGTCATTAAATGCTACACCCTGAATGTGACTTTCATGTTATAATGTTCAAAAGTCAGAGTGCATGTGTCCCCACGGGTGTATTTCTTACTCATTATCCTTTTGGTGACTGTGCCCACGGAGCTACAATGTGGTTCACAATAACTGCACATCATTTTTAATATTCATCCATTAAAGTGTCAAACCTAGTGCATTTTAAGTTGGAAAAAAAGTCACTTCCTGCGTTGTCAAAGAGCCAGATATGAGCTCAGTCGGAGCACTGCAATTTTATGTTCAGCAACATAATGGGAGGGGTGCAAATGAGGACATTTTTATTATTTTCTAAGATGTTTCCACACATTGTGAGAATGTATGGACCGTACACTATTGGAGTGATATACAGAATATGCAGACATCTGGTGTAAAAACTCAGTCGTGTTATTATGCGGAGCGTTGTGATGGAGAGACGGGCTGTAAGTGATTCTTCTCCCTGCTTTTCTCTTTATTTGTCATATGTGTTCCTCCTGTAGAGCGGCCAACCTTCCTCCGTAGGCCAATCAACCAGGTGGTGCTGGAAGATGAGCAGGTGGAGTTTCGCTGCCAGGTTCAAGGAGACCCTCAACCAAATGTGCGCTGGAGAAAAGATGATATAGACGTCCCTCGTGGAAGGTAATAGTTGATCCTAATAAGAAAAAATCAAAAACAATAAATTCACCGTTTTAGTAGATCAGTTTACTGACAGGTGAGGCGGTACTGCTGTTAGTCTGATTGACTGTCATATCTAATCATTATTGAGTCAAGCCAGTTCTGACCTGTCAAGGCTACTAGTTAGTTTTATTATACGATACACACATATCCTAGATAAAAGGACCCCGCCCTGTGTGTTCAGTCAACACCTACTACGGCTGTAATTATAGAGGTAGGCAGTGTTTCATGTTGAAAGAAGGGCTCTGTGTGAAATTGTGCAGATATTTTGAGTGTCTGCACAGTTAAAACTGACAGACAGGCAAGAAGGAGAGGTTGAAATGAGAGCAGATTCAAAGCACAGATCTGTAGGTGACTGTGTAGAGCCTTATGACACCCAACAAAGTAAAGATGTCAAATACAGGTGGAAGTTGCTGAAAAAAAAACCTCCTCCTTAGAAGATCTACTTATTTGCATGACTTTTGCCCGGTGTAGTCATAGAGAGGAAGTTACAGAAAGTCTTAATTTGGCGATTTTATGAGGGATGAAAAGTTTCATCCTAGATTCTTCTACTACATTTCAAGAACTTATGTAGCCTCACTGTTGTTGTTTTGCCCAGTTACCTCACTCTGAGTCACCGGACTCACAGTCAAAAGCAGGGTCATGTTCAGAAGCAGACTACAAAGAGATCAGTGTTGTGTCCTCTTTGCCATCAGCCCAGTCACACACACTGCTCGGATCACCTCGTAAAACATACACTTAACTCCGTCAAGGCTGTTACTGCGGAGCTGCGCGTGGGCGGCTTGGATCTGATAAGTGTTTGGTTCACTGGGCAGTGGGACATGAGCCAAGGCAAACACATAAAAGGATTTCACTCATGTCTTTGGTAGGGAGTCAACTCTTCAAATGACTTCAATGTGTGCCCTTATTAACAGATTTGCAATACAGCTGAATGGATGTCTTTGGTTATCGTATTTAACCCTTTGAGGGTAGAACATATGAGAATGAGCCAAAAAAACCAAACTAACATCTGAACACATCAAAAAGATGATGTAAACTCCTGTAAGCAGATATTGCCATTATGAAGAATACGTAATGAGAAAATGTATCATTTTCATTGGTCAACTGTGTAAATTTCAGAGCATGTCGTAATAGCTGTTGTGATGACACTGCTCTTTCATTCGCCCAACCTGAACATAAATCTAAAAACAGGAATGAATGATAATCGAATCCTTCCTTTTTTTTGGACTTCTCCATGGTTGTTTAACAGTAGCGTTGAGAATCGTGTTTTCTTATTTACATCAGACGAGCCTGGCCATTCAGCAAAGCAATTTTCCACTCCTTTCAACAAATATACAGTATTCAAACCGTGTCGATGAGCCCTCAACCACCAGAGCTTTGTTTAACATCAAACATTTACTCCCTCCGTCGTGCAGAGGGATTGTGTAAATGCCACAGTTTTTGCGGAAGGGCCATTTGTGAGCCTTCGTAACAGTAGTAGGTCGTCTTTTAAGAAAGGAGATAACTGAAGATCAAGTTCTCTGATAGGCAGTGGAGGGTGGTCTTTGTTTGCCGTCGATCTAAAAAGGTTACACTGTCCTTATTATTATGATAAGCTGTTGAAAGAGAGAAAAAGAGGCCATTCCTTCTTCATCATCAAACTGTTTTAACTTGTCTTTGCTGGTCCTTTCACATGCACTGTAACGTGTGTGTGTGTGTGTGTGTGTGTTTGTGTGGAAGTTTCATACAAGGATGGAGCCTCAGCTGAGTAAACAGGTCTTTAATATGCTCACTGGCTCCAGCAGCCACCATGGCAAACATGCACACACTACACACACACACACACACACACACACACACACTACACACATAAACACAGACTCAACAACATAATGCACGCCAGGATGGCACTGGCTTTGCACTCAGAGGGACAGAAAGGAAAATAGAGACAGCACAGGAATGATTTCAATTATGTGACAAAGACAACAGTGCTGCTCTTGTACCTCACACTAAGTTCCACTTTGTTTGTAAAAGTGTGATCAGCAAACAATCTTATCTCATGTACAGCACTCTGCAAGCGGCGTGTGGTATGAGGTGTAATAAAATAGGTCCATTTATTTTGTGAGATAAGAGAACCTCTACCAACAGCCAGGCAAATTCATTAAAACCACAGTCTCTGTCCACGCGTAGTGTGTTAATTGAAATATTGCTGCCTTTTTTAGGACCTCCAGTCCATCGCTGGCACAACACCCCTTCCTGCTCACTTTTACGTTATAAGCTGTGCACAATTCAGCAGATTTTTCTTTTTCGTCTCAATCCCTGTGTGATTTCTGCACATGTTTTTGTGTTGGGGGGCTACTCTATTATAAAGATGATTGGGTCATTCTGTTTAAGAGAACTGTTGAGGCCAGTGTGACATGGGGGCTCTTGGTGATGCTGATCATTCAGTTTCACCAATTTGTACCTTCACAACTCAGCAGAATGAAAGAACGGCAGGCTGTGTTTCCTCTCTTTGACACTTCCCTTGATACCTGTGCCTGGAATTTATGAGAGCAGGGGCTGATGGGAGAAAAGGATGGCAGGTTGATTGGAATTTTTATGTTTAGCTTTTCGACACTGTGTATTTAATATCTCTCTATAAATGGATGGATGGATAGATAGGTAGATAGGTAGATAAGTGTGAATGTTTGATTAAGAAATCTGCAGTTGATCCTTTGTTATTGGTGACTGTCATTCATCTTAATAAAATTAAACATCCAAGAACCAAGAAGACAACAGAGAAGAAGAGTGGACATAATGAATGAGAGAGCTGCAAGAAAGAAAATGGTAAAATAAAAGCAGAGAACAAGAACATCAAAAAAAGTCTCAGTGTTTCTCACATTATAACAAGACTAAAATTACAATGAACATATGAGAGGAGCAGCTGTAGGAGTTGAGTGAGGATGTTCAAAGTAGAGCACATGTGCTGAGGAAAGATAGGGACAATACTGGACAAGGGATGGGGATGGTGTTGCCAGGCAGGGGGAAAGGAGGAGGACCACAGAGAAGATTCATCGACATGTTTTCAGTCTATAAATAAATGGAGGCAGATGATTTGTGAAGTTACTGTATTTAGCTGAAATAAAACGCTTAGTCCAGATTACTTTTAATTTCTCCCTGTGACTTGAACAAACATAATTACTGCTGCTGTGTTAAGTTCTGAAATCACAGTGGTTGACATTTCTATTTGTCCAAACTGTTGCTACAGTTCAATGTTTCACCACAGGACACACTTGTGGAGGACAGAAAGAAGAAAAATCCACTCTTACCATCAGCCACTGAGCAAGGATATACTTTGCATTATATTAAAATATGTGCATGTTCTGCAAGTTGTAGTATCTTTGGCTTTACAGAAACACTGCAGTATTTTCTATTGCCCCAGTACATCTGCTCCCAGCCACTTTAGGAAAGAAAGAAAAAACACCAGCGCCCTCACCACAGTTGCTGCGGTTATGGGTAAAAGCAACTCCTTAAAGACAAATTTAGGATACTTCCGCTTTCCACTACCCCCCTTAATCTAATCACAGGGTGGAAATCTGGCCAAACTGCACTTTGATTAATGTAGCATAAGGTGATGAATGTCAGGACCGTTGGGAGGGCCCTGACCCTCCAAGGCCATGAGAGGAGCCAAGAGGGAGCAAGACCCTGGCTTCAGGCCTTAGAGGGGAAAGATGAGAAGCAGTAGCTGGTAATTGATTCCCTCTTTTGCGTGACGGGGCTAAGGTAAGTAGGCCCCAGCCTCTTTGATCAAGCTGAGGTAAAGTAGCAGTCACATGCTGTAAGACTGGATCATACTGTCTGAAATAACTGGAGCAGAGAGGGCAACTGGTGTCAGAGCCAGAGACCAGCCCGGAGTCAGTCCTGTTCTCTATCTAGAGTCAGAATTCTGTGTTGGGACTTGGCAAACAACTCTTCTGCTTTGTGTAATCCATATTGACACGTACTAATTCCGAGGCAGATTGAGAGCCAGATGAGATCCTCACAGGTTTAGTCTTAATGATGATGAGTGCAGACACTCGGCAGCAGGAGCTAAATCTCTCCTGTTGTGAATACGTCACTGGTCTGACAGTGGAACATGGACCATTGGGTTCCTGGGAGGCAGTTTAAAAGCAAGTTCTCTGAGATGGGGGAGACTGGGGGAGTTTTGAAATGTAATGCCTTTAAAGTGAGTCCAATAAAGTTTTCATCTCAGTTTCAGCCTGTGACATACAGAAAGCACATCACATGCACGAGCCAAAGAAATTTCCTGGCATTTGCTTACATTCCCATCACTCCTCATCTTCCTCCTCCAGTGCATGACTCTGCACATGTGTGTAAATGTGTTGGGTGATTGTATACTTTGTTCTGAATATGTGTCTATGTGTGTGTGCTCAAAATGAGAACAAGCGAGCAGAGTGAACTTGGCTCCCCTGTTTTTCCACGGCCGTTCTACATCTGCAGTTACATTCCTCCTCTAATAGAGAACAGAGCTCTGCTCCAATCTACTCGCAATAAAGAGCTACTGTTCCCATGCAGCGTTCACTGCCATGTGCGTGTGGCCACAGCTACTTCTAATGCCTGAGTCTTTCCACTCATCTTGTCATCCAGGCTGATTCCATATAGGAAGCTGATTACAGATTGATGGAGCTCAGGTTTCCCTTTAATGAGTCGCGGATCAGCCCGAGGTTCTGTTTCTGAGGGAATGATAGGGACGACCCAAGAACAACAAGCATGTTGTGCGTGGAATCCGCGGACTCTTTGAGCCACGACGACTCGGTCATGCTGTGTGAACTTCTGTAAGCAGAGGATGAGATTGTGTTTCGATTAAAATATCTGTAGCGTTCAAGTATGATCTAAGACTAAAGCGACTAAAAAAAGTGAAATTATTGCGATTACTCTCTCAACTTAAGCAACAGATTGGATATAGACCATGTGCAGGAAATGCTACTAGAGGAAAAATTACTTTATTGGTCACTGAACAGTGTACATATACAGACACATACTTGCTCAGCGCTGCAGCTTATCTCTCCGAGGCAGCCTGAAACATACAGATCAGATAGGACTCTTACAATCTGTTTACAAGTGTAGTAACCGTGGCCTCAGTTCTGAATTGACAATGACCTGTTTAGAGTAGTTAATCTGAGATCCCTGGGAACTAGTCGTTTACTCAATAACGTTTGTCAGGGAGTCACTCTTTGTTCCCTGAGCTTCAAATTGTTTCTGTCAGTCAAGTGCTCATCTCGCTCTCTCAGCTTTCATGTAAGCAGTTTGTGTCATGCATTATCCTTGCTGGAGGCCATGCTGCATGGATGTAAGTTCCTGTTAGATTTTGTGTCCTTTATCAAACATGAAGACTTGTCCCAAATGGTGCTGCCTCATTCTTTTAAACGTCACTAACTTTGAACCCGCCGTGAACGCTTTATTCACACCACCCACCATTACCTGGATTGCACATCCCCTCTGTGGAACAACGCACTGAGTCATGACTCAGTCAAATAATCATTATGGCTCCTTAAGTACCTGTGTGGAGAGGTGGAACTGGCAGTCAGAGTTGAGGAATGTGCTTCAATAAAGCCGCCTTTGAATGCATGCTCAGGAAATGTCATAGGAAGAAACTCAGACATGGAGAGACAAGACAGATGAATCTTGCAGCTGGCTGTGGCTCGCTGCCATCAATACACCTGATGGCCGAGTGGAGGGGTCTTTCCCGCTCCGTCGGAAATGGACCGTGGCCTGCGGTTTCTCTGTATTCACTCGAGGTGGTGTTGCTGTGAACTGTAGTTTATTACCAAACGTATCTCCACTTCTAATCTATACTCCAGAGCCAACAGTTAACTACTATGCACAAAACTCAAGTGTAGCAGCTTCTTCAACCTTTCATTAATCTTTATCTTTTTAAAATATCTCTAAAGCTTCAGCCTCAGTGTAGTTTTTCTTTAGAGCTTTGTTGTCAACCGGTGGCTATTAAAAACACATAAAAGGCGTTGTACCGTTGAGCCAGGCAGCGTATTCTTTTATTGCTATGAACTTTACTGTGTTGGCCGCCGTAGTTTGTTTTTAAACCACTCAGTGGCTGTATTTTCACTCTATGAGTGGTTAGCTGCAGCTTAGCTTTTGGCCTTTCCTGTGTTTTAACAGTTGTTTTAACAAAGTTGGTATTTCAAAGCACAAAGACATGCGCTCTAATAAAATAGTTTTTATTAGAGCTGTTGTGTGTATAAAAAAAATGGAAATGTTACATTGGGGATTCTGAGTGGAAAATTGAAACAATAAACTTGTGTTGCATAAAAACGAAGAGAGAAGGAAATAATGCAAACTTTACTGAATTTTCAGTTAAAAGAAAAAAATAAAAATAAAAACTCATATATATACTTTTATATTAATATAGATAGATAGATAGATAGATAGATAGATAGATAGATAGATAGATAGATAGATAGGTAGATAGATAAAGATATAGATATTAATTAGATATTCCCATAAACTCTTAACTTGTTGCATACATTGATGTTATGATCATGGTTTTCGTTAACCGAATGCATTCTCATTAATATGCAGTAATTTAAAATCAAAATAATAAAAAAAGTGCAAGATGCAGTACCTACAAATTCGTTATTAAATCTTCTGCTAAACAGTACAATAATTTGCAATGAAAACCTTTTATATATATACGTTTTATATATATATATACATATATATGTAGAGATGGTGTTGCTGTAAACTGTATATGTATATATATGTATGTGTATATATATGTGTATATGTATGTATGTATATATATATGTATATATACATACATATATAGATATAGATATAGATATAGATAGATAGATAAAGACTGTCTTCTGCTCCACCTTGCAGTCTGGCAGTTGCAGTGTAAAACCAGTCGGCTAAGTGTCAGGTTCAAACGCGGCAGCCCTTTTATCTCATCATTCCAACTCTGTTCCTACAGCCTGTGAGTGACAGACTGTGGACAGCAGAAGGTTGTCAGCTGACAGAGGCTGACTACCCCTGCGCCCCAGCCCCCACCCCGCTAACACACAGCCAGGCCAGCACCCCTTCAATTACAGAACAAACAGGACCAGAGCAACAAACCTCAGCAGCATCACCTTCCTGTCAACTGCCATACTATTCATACAAGTATGGATGTATGCACAGAAAAACTCAGGAAACGACAGCTGAATTACAATTAGATGTCACTCATCGCCATTGTCTGCTTTCTGTGTTCACCAAAAAAAACTGCTCCGTGTCGACGCACAAGGACTAAATTAGTGCCTTTGTCTTCGGGTTCCACGGGAATATCAAAATCTCAATTCATGTCGAATGAAATTTCAGCCAGTGTCTGTTGGGTGTGAGTTTAAAAATTGATACCTTAATGATGATCATGTTTCATTTTTCATTACCTACAGAATAATACCAATGACACCCAGCACCAGCCAAATGAAAGCTGTCCACTCATTTACTTAAATGTAATTAAGGGATCCCTAATTGAAAAAAAAAGAAGTGAATTATCCCCCACTCTGTATGAGTGGGACATTGGTTGGTTTGGTACATGCTTGCTACTCTATGTACTGTATATATATGTGAAACAATATATAGCCTACATAGTATATTGTATACATATATACTGTATGTATGCTTAATACATGGGCAAAAAAGTTCCCAAAAGCAGAACACAAATGAAAGAAAGTGAATGTAGCACAATCCAACGTGTGGTGTACAAATGTAAACAAAGTCGTGTGAAACATCTTGTTACGCCGTAACGTGACGTAAACCTCTAAATGCTATAGGTCGAGGACGCAGTAAACCGAGGACTCTTGTATATAGTATTTACCCTAACCCTAAATTGTATTTACGTACAAGTTTCCTCTCTCTGTTTCATTTTTCACTCTCTCTCCTTTGTTCTTTATAAGATGAAACCCAAGCCTCTGAACACGGCATCAGAATAATAAAATAAAAAATAAACATAGAGAGGAAGCAATAACTCGTGAATATTGAACAATCTGTGTAAGTTCCAGCCGAACGCTCACCTCTCTGTGTACTGTCTTTGTTGAATAATTGATCCTCCTCTTTGCAGTCTCAATTTGTCAAAATGAACAATTGTCCGCTCGCAAAAAGCAATACGGTTTTCACGGTTACCATCATGCAGTTCAGCAGCCGCAGCCGACGTTACATCTTATTTGTCACAGGGTTAATGTTTCATAAGAATATTAGGTTTTAGTCTTTGGTAAAGCCAATCTCACAGTTTCTTTTAATTCTCTTGTTGACAGGTATGAGATCAAGTACGACAAGGACGACTACGTGCTGAGGATGAAGAAGGCTTCTGTTGGCGATGAGGGCGTGTTCACCTGCGTGGCAGAAAATCGTGTGGGAAAGCTGGAAGCCTCTGCTACTCTAACAGTTAGAGGTAAAAAAAAGTCTCCATTTGTTCTTTTACATTAGAGGCCACAGTGATGTCTTTCACCACTTAGGTTTCCAGTGTGAGATTTGGATTGGCATTTGATTCCACAGAGTCTGAAAATGGAGAAGGGTTAGCACTCCCTCACCAGAGAGAGAAGAAAACAGTCTATGAATCTGTTTAATTATTTACATTTCCATGTGCAGTGTCGGCACACTCAACAACCACCCCTCCCCCCTTTTTGGTGGCCCGCTACCTACACTGTACCCTCCATGCTCTAACTAGCAAGTCAGCAAAGCCATTTCACAGATTACTGGTGCACACCAGCAGCCTCACACCTGGGGTTTGCAAGGTTAATAAAAACATTCTAACTATAATTTTCCTTCTTTTCACCACTCTTCTTCCCATTAAATTCAAGTGTTTAAGGTCCCAGCGGTGTGCTTTAGAGCAACACAGGGGGATGAAAACATAGCCTGGGTTGACTTTTTGCTGTTTCTTGTATGCTTTTTTTTAAGCTTTTTTTTTTACTCGACAGCAGAGGCAGATACAAGAAAACTCGAGAGGCTTTAGGGATTTTGGATTCCTACACCGTCTTAATGTAGCCTAGATGTTTTCTTTAGTTGGTCTTCCAAACATTTCTTCTCTTCCTACTGCCTCCTTGCTCTCCTTCTTCTTCTTCCCTGTGCATCATAACTAGTGATAAACACACCCTCACCTTGTCTTTACACATGTCATCTGTAGAACTGTAGATTTCATTAATGCCACGGTGAGGATTCAGTAGTGTGTTTCTTTCCTAAGGGCAGAATGCCTGCCCACTCAGGGACTCAAAAGCAATTGAACAGTGTTTACCACCTGTGGGCCTCTATTGAAGGACGCCCGACCATTCAGAAGTAAAAAGGACACACACAAACTGTCAAGTCTAGTGTCAAAGGAAAAAACAACTACTGAATGTTCTCTGTAATTTTTCCCTGTGATGAAAATGTGTTGACCAAAGCACAACATGTCATTCGTTCTGACTTTGATTTTTTTTTTCTCTTATTTTGCTCTTGTTTGTTTGTTCCGTTCCTTTTCTCTCGTCTTGTGTTTATGTTTTTGTGTCTTGTGTGTATTGTGTGTATTCACTCCTCCATTGTCGTGTCTCCAGCTCGCCCCGTGGGTAAGTACCATCCCTCTGATTTGATTCCATCCCGCATGCCCTCACCCTTCGTTGTGCTGCACCTGAGTGCTTGACAGTCAGCCGTCATTGCTTTGACTTTACTTTTATATGAACACAGGTGTTTGACACTCATCGCATTATCTGTCTGTAAAAGCACTTTTGATAGCAACTTGTCGGGCTCGTTATTCCGATGCTGGTAGATTCAACAAAATTTCAACTTGACTTTTAATTTGACTATGGTGTCAATACTTACACATTTTTCCAAGTACTCTTTTCAAACACCTCTGCACCAAGGGCAACAGTATGTCAAAAAGTTGTTTTTCCAACACATGCACTTTAATCAGTTCACATGATAGGAATATTTTTTGCAAACATCTTGAAGTTTCTGTGAACTTATGTTGGACATTAAGTGTCTCTTTTGACAACTTTGCTATTTAAAGGTTTATTACAACAACAAGGAAAAAAAATACATTTTTGACAGATTTGTGTATGTCTGTATTTGACATGTTCTGACAGTAGGTCGGTATGTGTGGGTGAATAAGTGCAACAGGAATGATGTGGGTTTTAAGCTCCTATTTAGATTTTCCTTTCAACATTACCCTAAGTGTGAAAGATGTAATTATAGGATTGCATAGTTTCAGCGATTAACCAGAAGGCTACTGTTACAGATGTATGACAGACTGTTAACTGTTGTAGATTAATCACTATTCAGTGGTCAAGGGTTTCAACATCGAATAAAGAAATATGTTTGCTCAGAGATTTTGTTAGCAGAAGTCTCTTTAGATTCTAGACCACGTTCTTTACTTTGAGTCCGTGGGCTAGCATTTTCAGATATTGTCATCTCATATGGTCCGGGACGTGTTTAACTTGCAAGTCTTCAGGCCATCTGTGGCTTTCTGGAACACAAAGCTGAGATCTGTTTGTTTTGGACCAGCTTCTGGGTGTCTGAGTCCCGCAACACTGAGCAGAGAATCTCATTTTATTTCCCTATAGATGGAGAAAAGGTCAACACGGGAGCAAATCTGATACACTTAAGATGGGAAATAGTCAGAAAAGGGGAGCAAAGATGGGCAAACAGAGAGAAAGGTGGGCTCTGTGAGAGTCAACACAAAGGGGAGCAGGAAAATGACAAAGGGAGGGGAGAAAAATAACGGCAGATGCGTGTGTCGAGACTGGCTGAGCTGTCTGAAAACCTGGGCACTGTCTCAGTGGCATAACTATGGTTGCCAAAACAGCAGTAGCTATTCTCTGACTGTCAAACTTTCAGCGCCGAAGAAGATGGAAGAAATTACACATTCACACAGCCTCTGGGAAGAGACAGTAATTGCTGTCAACGTTTGAATAAAATATGATTGAACGCTGGATTTTAAAGGAAAAGCTCCTGAGCTTGGGTTTGCTGAACGCATGTCTCTCTGTCCGTCCATTCGTTTCGACAGTAATTGCTGTCAACGTTTGAATAAAATATGATTGAACGCTGGATTTTAAAGGAAAAGCTCCTGAGCTTGGGTTTGCTGAACGCATGTCTCTTTGTCCGTCCATTCGTTTCACCATGGATGCTTTTTTTTTTTTTTTTTTTGCTGAGCCCTCTCCAAACCAGGCAGATGTGACGGGTCATGAATTAAATATGGGCACCTGGTCATGTGTTTCCTGACGAGGCGACAGGAGGAAAACTCTCAAATGTCGTTAAGCATTTAAATCAAAACATGGCCAGTGTGTGTCAGCTTGTTTTTTGTTAAGACTTTTTAAGAGAAAAAAATAAGTATTCAAATCTGATCACGAGCTTGATTTAAACATTTTCTGATTTTGTAATTTTAGAGCTCAGTAATCCATGTGAAAGTGAGATATGTAGACATATGACCGACTCTGTCTTATTGGAAACAGGTTTGAAGCTTTAACGTCTCTACAGTGTTGCTGCCACAGTAGTAGTCTGCACAGTGATTTGGCAGAGTTCCTGATGCAATTAAAATTGGGATTTAGCCACCCGGTGGCTGGAATGCAGCATACCAGTGCATGTACACCTAGCCCCCAGGGCGTGCGTCTTAAACATGTCATCCTTTAAATAGTATTTGAATATTTTGGACGTGTTTGCACAAAAAGAACTTTGTCAACCAGAAAGAACCACTGCAAAGATGTAAAGTTTACCAGTCCCTAATTAAAGAAAGGTCCTATATCATAACATATTTTACAGTTTGGTAGTTAGAGACAGATGGGAATCCTGGTAAGGTGGTTGATAAAAGTGATGTCCTCCAGGCTGCACACTCCAGGGTGTTAGACCTCATTCTTAGTCAATAGTCAGTATTGAAGTGTGTGGGATCAGACAGAAGAGAGAGAGAGGAGGAGAAATGAGATTTTGCCAAAGCGTGATTTAGTAGCTTTGTATCAGGCCCAGTGATGTGAGAGCCACAAGATATCCAAGCTGCGGAGGGCCAAAGGAGAAGGCAGTAAATCTGCAGCCATCTGCACTGTTCCCAACCATGTGTATCTTTGACAAATACACATCTCCCGAAAAAAAGGAATTACATGGAGAAAGCAGCCAAATGGGAAGAGTTTTCGTCTTAGTGGAACCAGCTGGCTTGTTAGTCAAAGGACTTACAGAGAAATCTGAGGAAACAAAGAGCACAAGATGTTGAATTGCAACAATTCAGTATTTACTTGTTTTATTATTTTACAACATAGTGCAAATTATATCTTTTCTTTGGAGCTGTCTAAAAATACTCTTTACTTCCAATAATTTTGACTAACTGGGACTCTTGTAGCATTTGACTCTCAGTATCAGCCTGAACCGTATTTCCCCCTCTATATCACTGTCATCTTATCTTAACAAACATGCCACTGGTCAGCAGGGGAACTTACCCAGTGACAATTAGAGGAAATAAATAGAGGTCATGGGTTATGCAGTAACTTAGGGCAGGTCAGAGTTGAGACATTTCCGAACGTTTAATACTAAAGTCTAGATATATGGCGGACCTATTTTAAGCTTATGTCCAAACCCAGAAGCCCTTGGTTTTTATTTATGACATTACTGGCTGCCACATTTTCCACATGCGATGAAGGTTATTTTTTACTTTCGCACCAGATTGTACTATGGGAAATATTTGTTTTGCTTCAGTCCTTACGATGCAATCTGCCTTCATCATACATGTGCTGTGAAGTAGACAATTAACATGGCTTGGCTTTGCTGGTTTGATGAGTATAAAAGAAAGTGGATGGGAAATTTGCTCCAACTCTTACCAATTCTAACCTGCCTTAACAATAAAACGGCACTTTTGTTGGACACCATCTGTCAGGTCTGTCTGTTCCCTGTCCCTGCTGTCTGCTGTGTGGGGTAATCTCACTCACCTGTGTGTCTGCAATTAGCCTCACTTGTGTCACCTGGTGCTCCCTGCATATATACCTCTCTCCCTCACTGTTTCCTCGAGTTGGAGAAGTTCATGAGTTTTGAAAAGACCATGAGTCTTGAGAAAGTCAATGATGTTGGAGAAGAGCATGCCTGTAGTCGATGTTATATTCCTGTGACGTTTTGTTGTTGCTCTTCCACGATATTTGCTGGAGAACCGGTCTGTAAACGATGCTTCCTCCCTGTGAGTTGTTGTTGTTTCACTGTAAATAAATCACCTGCTGTGCCTGAAGTGCTCCCTAGTGCTGCATTTAGGTCCAACCTGCTTCCTGCCTTGCCCACACGTGACACCATCAATGCCATCATGGTTAAATGTCTTGAATTCTTATGTATGAGCCTTAAATGTTAACTCAACAGGCCAACATTTTTAATCATCATCCTCACACTGGAGGTTTTACAATCTGCCTTTTACGTGAGATGCATTCTGATGCATCGTAAATGTTTATATGGAAATTATATACAGTATTATTATCCTGTAGCCTTTACTGTCTGTCTATACCTGTCTACAGTGGTGGGTGTGTCCAGAGCGCTCCATGTGCTCCCGTGTCGTCTGAGGTCTTAATGCTGTTGTAACAAGGCACTATGCCAAGTGAATGTAAATGTGGCTGCCATTCATTCAGCCTCAGCTCCAACTGGATGAATGGCCAACCTGGTCGTCATGGAAATGACAGTCGTTAGCATGGTAGCTCTGTGCAGCTTTCCCATTTTGATTTAACCACTTGGTTTAATGCCTGCTTTGCTTGAAATTCCCAAATCCTGTTATACCGTGTATGCTATGACCGGAATACATATCACTGGTCTAACACTCGTGCCTTGCTCTTTGACTTTTAGCTCCACCCCAGTTTGTCATCCGACCAAGGGACCAAATCGTGGCTCAGGGCCGCACTGCCACTTTCCCCTGTGAGACCAAAGGAAACCCCCAGCCTGCCGTCTTCTGGCAGAAGGAAGGGAGTCAGGTGAGAGCACAAACAACTCAGTCATGATATGTGGTTTTTCACTTTATTTCCTAAAGGTGAAACTACATTTCTGTCGTAGTCGGCACATTATTTCCTCTGGAGCTATAGTTACCAGAACTCAGCTCTTTCTTTGATTCCCTTGGTCAAATGCACAACTTTTTGTGGGTTTTTATGATTCCTCAGCTCTGCGCATGGTTACAGATACAGTATCAGTCAATTGGATCTTCACTTCAAACACACACCTTTGTTCTCGGGACATGTCGAACCACAGTATGCCAGGACAAAGTGGTGATAAGGGTGATCCCTCACTCAAGCAGATAACGCATTCAAATACCTGGGTGTCCTCTCAATACAAAACAGAAGTACCAATTAGGAGCCTGTCGAGACCTGTAGATAGACCAGAGATATGACTCAGCCCTGGCTAAGGTTCAAACACAGACGAACACCGAGGACAACAATTACAGCCAACCTCCCTTCAGCAGAGACAGTGTTGACGACAAAAACACTGTGTGACACTCAGCCACACGTCATGTACCAAATATGATTCACCCCTGAGTAATGTCCTGAACATGTTCAGATTCATATCCAGTGTTTTCACAAATGATGGTGCTTTTCGAATGAATGAACCACAAACACTCTAGGACTAGCGGTGGCACGTCTCTCCTCCCTCCCTTCTCTCCCCCCTCATATTTTGCTGTTTATTGATGCGTTTCTCGACCTCACGCGCGCTGACGTTTAAAAAGGTACAAAATCCCTTATTAAAATAACACATTACCCTTAATTAAGTACAGTAATTAAATTGGACAGCAGTCCTATCCATACTCCCGAGGATAATGGACAGTATATCTCATGTTCTGAAGAGGTGTGAAACCTAATTAAATAAACAATAAGAAAATAACTGATTAGATTTAATTGCGTTCAGCTAATGTGGGGGCTTATTGGTAGATAGAATACAACATATATAAAGTGGAGGGAAGGCAGGGCCTTGATTTAAATGGTTCTTATTTATGACACTTATTATTTTAGGACACATTGTAACAGAAACTATAGTATATTGATTTTATCTTAGCTAGAGAGTTAAACCCTTCTCTTGTGGGACTCCTACAGGAGGTAGGCTGATTATGGGATCTGAAAAAATAAACAGCTTTAACACAATAAACAAAGTCATGAAAACAATAATTCTGTGTACGTGCTTGGAACTTGCCTATCCAAAAAAAATTGTTTGGCTCTTCTGTTCATTTTCTGGTCTATGCAGTAGAAACAGTTTCCAGTAAAACATCATTTATCATTTTGTGAAACTCTTTTTGGAGTTGTGTTAATGAAAATTGTTTTACATTTATTTTAAGTCATGAAAAAAAATATTGGAGGGGTCTCCAATTGTAAATGCAGTTCTAAATCACTTTGGAATAAAAGCAAAAATAAAAAAGTAAAAATAAAAAAAAAGAAGCCGTGAAGAGCAGAAATAACTTCCGCGGCACAGTGGAGTCTCTGGTTTGGCTCCACAGTAAGACTAAAACCAACCTATCAAACTGTAGACAGGTTTGTGAAGCTGGTTAACCCTGTGATAGAAACTGTTGTTAATACTGTAGCTGTTGGCCAGATCTGTCCGTGTGCCCGACATGTACAGCATACACATGTGAATGGACCAAGATTTGTTTTTTGTCATTTCTCCAGGTTTTTATTGCTTCCATCTTCTCAATGATTGCCTGTTCCTTCTCTGCAGAACTTGCTTTTTCCAAACCAACCGCAGCCCAACAGTCGCTTCTCTGTGTCGCCCAGTGGAGATCTTACCATCTCAAATGTGCAGCGGACAGACGCTGGTTACTACATCTGCCAGGCACTGACAGTGGCGGGGAGCATCCTCGCCAAGGCTCAACTGGAGGTCACGGATGGTAAGGAGAATCTGAATGAGAGCACACAGGGAATACTGCAGTATGACTACAAGGCACACATGCTGAAACTGGTGCCTGTGTACAGTAGATGTAAACACAGATGTGAATTAAATTCAAATACTAGACTACCTCCCATATTCCAGATGCACTTCTCACAGAGTCGCTTTAAAGTAAACTAGGACTCAACATTTGTTGTTTTGTACAGAAGAGATTTTTGTTTTTATCATCAGGTAAATCAGGCTTTATACAACAACAACAAAAAATACTTTCCCTTTTCATTCCACAATCCAAAATGAACATATATTTGGTCACATAAATGTAAGTGTGAAGATGACCTCTGTTTTTTTTTTTCTGTGAAAAGTTAATTAAAATGTTCTCTTTTTATTGGAAAGGAAATAAAGTGTTGCCCTTGAGGTCCCTCCAGTTTAATGGGAAGCTCTTAAAAGAGAGGGTGAGGTTTAAGTCCTGCAAGAAGAGGTGGATGTGAACGGGTTAGTGACAAAATGACAGCATTTCTTTGTCCAGTCTGTTCCTCCAAGTGAGGAAGCCGTGACGGCACGATCGACACGTCTGCCGGAATACCTGCAAGCAGGAGGTTTGCAAGAGAGTTGCTTAGATACAACAGCAGATTGATCTGTGCTACAAATGTAACATCACATTTTATGGTCATAGTTTCCGATTGTAATGACTAAAATATGTTGAGACCTGTTTCTCAAGTGTCTTCGACAGGTTTTTATCATTGAGTCTTTGTCACGTTCTTGGTCTATTTTGCATATTTTTTGATTGAGTTTTTTTTAATTTTTAAACAGAGCAAATAAATATATAACCCAAATTTAATGTAACCTTAGCAAAAGGTTTAGTGCAGCTTAAAATCAGCTTGTCTTCTAGCTCAGTTATTTCATCCATAGAGGAGGCAAAGAAGCAGTTTGTGATCTGGTTCAATGTTTCTTAGAACTTTTTGACTAACCAGGAAATAAATAATAAAAGTTTAATTTGCTTTTTTGATAAGGCATTTTGAACCAAAGACTACATGAACTTTGGGTGCACCACTATGAAAGACTTCAGAGAGACCACTGATAGGAAATGGGAAAGTGAAACTAAATGGCTTATCTATCCATCCATCTTTGAGTCTTTTATCACACTGTATCAAACACCGTGTTTTTATGCCTTGAGCTTCAGTAACATTTAGGAACCCAGTCACCGCTGCTCTGTTTGACTATTTCCCTGGATCTTAATGTAATACAAGCAGTGTTGTTTAGTAAGTGATGAGTGCAACAGGCCATAACATGTAATCAAACCTCAGGAGTTATTTCAAATGTGAATGTACGTGTGTTTACCCATGTTTAAAGAAGTCAGTATTTTAATTTAACATCAACCTTGATCTCCGATGACATATCACCGTCATTTATTGCGTAACGTATCTTTATCTATTTAATTGGCCTGATAAGTACTCCAACTACATGTTTGGAATTTATTATTAATCTCTTTTTTTTAAATGGGAAGCCAACAAATGTTATTAAGGCAGGTGTGAAGCAAAAAAAAAAAATGGAGGAGGGCAGGGAACAGCGTAGAACGTCAGGGCCAGGTTGAGGTCATGGCCACACCTGCTGAAGTCTTCATGTGATTTACTACCTCAAGTCCTGACAACAGTCTGAGGAGTTCAAGGAGATGTGTAATGAGAAATTCCTCATCCAGAGACCTGAGTCTTCATCCCAGCTTCACCTCCATCCTCCGTCACTCCCGCCCGCCTCTCACTCATACATCAGACTGAAGATGGATTGTTGCGTTCTACTTGTGCTCTTGTATTCGATAAAATCACCTCATTATCTTTACAGCAAAACCAGCAGAGTCGTCACTGAGGTAGTAGGCAAAGATAGTGAAGATGATTTAGTAGTCCAACACCTGGTTGTAATAAATTACAAAGTCACTTCATGAGGTGCAATAAACTGTTCTACAGTTTTGGATTGTTCACAAATGCCAACTTACATCATGTATTTTGTCTTTGCTGTCAAATTGACCGTTTCTGTGTATGACAAAAAATAGAATGTTCAATATATAAGTTTTAGGGACTATGGCAGGCGCAGGCAAACTGTTTGACTCACGGGCCACAATTGTCCTAAAATTTGACGGGGGGTGGGGCGGGTACGGCGCAGATAGATGGAGCTTTCATGTGAACTAAGATAAATGACATAAAAGTCATGCATGAAGGCTAAAATGCTAAAATAATTAAGTTTGGCGGGCTGGATTAAAAAGCTGAACGGGCCGCATCAGGCCCACGAACATTAGTTTGCCCGTGCCCGGGCTATTGGGCGGTAACAGGGATTGTGGGATGCAGAAATCTTATCTTCAAGTGAAATGACCTCAGTTAAAGTCTTCATATATATATATTTTTCAGTAAAAACGATAAAGTCAATCGCTAACTCTCAGCAGTAGTTAGAATACAAGATGTCATCATTAAATATCAAATGCTGTACTTTACTTTACCTTGAGAACAGACACAGAGTATGACTGTAGTTAATTTCCTTATTCTCTCTGGTCAGATGTGGTCTAAAGATCCCACGTACCTTCAGTTACCTTCAGTCTGAAACCTATTAAATGGAGCTGACCTGAGGCCAGGCTACTGCACACAAACATTATGTGAAATCACTTCCTTTTTTATCAGGAGTAGCTGCTTAGACAGGGTTAAAAAAGAAGGTGGAGAGAAGGTGTAATAATGTGTTAAAAGGTTACTGAGGTAGACTTGGTAATTAGCCCCTGCAGGTCTGACATCATTAATCCATACCCTCTAATTAATGTGGGTTCTGTGATGCCAGGGGGACTCCACATTATTCAACTCCAAATATATAAACTGCCTGTGTGCACAGGTGCCATCTTTCTCTGAGGTCACCTCTGACATGTCGACTGTTTGTTCAGAGAAACCCACAGGCTTTTTTTTTGGCACATTACAAGAAATGATTTCTGCTCATGTAAATAGAATTAATCACTGTAATTATACAGATTTAGGTAGAACTGAGCCGAACCTAAACATATGTTAGAAAAAAAAAAAAGAATTTTTAAGGTAATTTTTTTTACTATAAGGGCTTGTTAGCAGTATATAGCCAATGGAACTGACCTTTTATTGTGTCCAACACTACACATAATGAAGTATTTATCCAAACCACAGTGAGTCAATGGGCAAAAATCTCACCACATAACTGGGCCACAAAGTCTAGAGAAGAGTATAAAAATACGGCTGCCCTGGCAGTAACTGGAAACTGCTTAGCGTCCGTCTGCCACATCAATGAAATGAGAAAACACTAAGTCAGCTCTTCTTTTCCTGCTTCCTGGAAATACAGGATATGGTCATTGTTCTGTGGTGCAATTACAAGACCTGCAGAGAAAATAGTCCACTTTATGACAGATCGCCACATCCACCCCCCCCGTGCACTTTATGATCCCTGCAGTCACGTATGAACTACAAAGTGATCCGCCTGTGCTCACATCGTTGCTTGTCTCTTTTTTCCTGCAGTGCTTACTGACAGACCGCCACCCATCATTCGCCAAGGCCCATCTAACCAGACGCTCGGGGTGGACAGCGTGGCACTGTTTAAGTGCCAGGCTTCGGGAGACCCCATCCCCTCCGTCAGCTGGCTGAAGGATGGGGACAGTCTTCTGGGAAAGGACGCACGCATGTCTCTGCAGGAGCTGGGCAGCCTGCAGATAAAAAACGTTAAGGTGAAAAGTGCCACCAAGTTTGTTTGTTTGGTTTCTTGCTTTATATGATATAATACGTTGTGCTTTCTATGTAATTTATATCTATACAGCAATACATTTTTATAGTCATGCATTCAGTCTATCTCTGTTTTTAAACTTTCCCTCATGTTACGAAAAAAATGATTAAGAAAAGAACAGAGGTTTTGTCAAAATGTTTCTGAAATTCTCCAACTAAACAAAAGTGTTTTTCCTTGTTAAAAGTCAGTGGATTCATTGGTCACCTCAGTTTCTGGAGGTGGAGGTTTTTTAGTGAAGTTATCCTTCAACTGGATGGAGAGGAGATCAATTCTAACCTTTATTATCTACATGCTGCTCCTGGCATCGTAGCTGTCAGAATGGCAAAGTCAGTAGAGTAAAGTCTGTTTACTGGTTATTCAGATGGGAAAATTTTAATGGACCAGATACTGTATAACAGCCCTCCCTTTAGATGTCACAGAGAAAATAATACTCTGAATCTGTTTACATCAGCAGAGTGCATCTGTGGTACCTGGGCTGCAGTATCACAGAAAAAAAAAACAATTTCCCCAATGGAAAGCTAATTTATTCTGCCTGCGATGTTGAAATGAGATTTGAATTCCATCAGAATAACATTTAAAAATGTGATCCCCTTAAATAGTAAACTTTATATCATTCAATTATAGATTCTATGTATTGTGTTTTCCCCATTTTAGTTCAGTTTTTTCGCCCATGGGAGACAACGATCTCCATGTTGTTAGTGAACTAAACTGGTTCTGGGAGTGACTTTCCAAAATCTGGGATGGCATGAACCAGTTATTTTGAGGCTCTCCACACACTAACAATTCACTGCTTGGTGAAAATGAGCGATACTCATCCACAGCTGAGGCGCTATGTGAGACTGGACTGACTCCAGCTGTAGGACTGAAACATGAGATTTGAACCCACGCCTGTGTACCGTACATGCTTATGCTAGATTAAATTTAAAAGGCCCACATCTTCTCGTCTGCACTTGGAAGCCTCAGTGGAATATCTATTACGCTTGACAGAGCTGCCGACCACTGACATGTTATTTAATAAATGGGGGGAAGGCATGGGGACAAAAAAAAAAAAACCCGCAAACAACCAAAGTTCCTGAGAGGGATGGCGAGTCCAGCCAGCTGTCATCGGTCCAGGGGGCTCGAGCAGCCCACCCTAAATTAATTAGCCTGCCTTTGTTGTGGTCAGCAGGACGGTGGAGACGAAAGAGTGGGAGTGGAATTGTGATGGAAGGACGGTTAATGGAAAATGGAATTCATTAGGAAATTAGTGTCAGCACTTTGAGGCACTCGTATATGACACACAATTTGGCCCCGACGAGGCTAGCTCGTGAATTTGCTCCATCACGTTGAGAGGCTGCATCCAGTCGGCTATTGATTGTGCTGTTCTCACAGTGTCTGAAATGATATTGTCTTCCCTAAAAACTGCCATTAGGCGATGTCTGTGTTTTCGTGTTTGCCTATGTGTGTGTGTGTGTGTAGAAGTACTTCCTCTTTTAATCACTGTGTGTTTTGATCTAAATCAGCTTTCAGACTCGGGGATTTACACATGTGTTGCCACCAGCTCCAGTGGTGAAACATCGTGGAGTGCTTTTTTGGAAGTCAAAGGTACGATGTGTTGGACAGAAGGACTGTATTTATGTTCAAAACAGCGAGCATTTTTTTTAATTTGACTAATCGTCATTTTGATTATGCTCTCTTTGATATCCCTTTAGAATCAGTTGGAGTGACTGTCTCCAAAAATCAGGATGAAAATGAACTCCCAGGGCCGCCATCGAAACCTCAGGTCACTGATGTCACCAAGAACAGTGTGTCCTTGTCCTGGCAGCAAGGAACTCCTGGAGCTTCACCCGTCTCATCGTTTGTCATTGAAGCCTTCAGGTCTGTGATGGGGCAACAACCTCTTTCTAATAGTCTGACTAAGCTCAACCTCATTCTGTTGAGTGTCTATACTAAGGTTTAGGGTTTTCTGTCGAAGTCTAGGGTCTAAGAGCTAAGGTAGCTAGCTTAGCACCCACAATCTGGATCAGACGGAGATCTGTCCTTATATGTAAAATGTAAAACAATCCACTCTGCCTCACTGATATAATTTCATTATACGTATAATGACTTATTTTATTAAATCTGTGTCCATTTTATAGGAATGGGATTAAAGCTCAGTAACAAATCTTTCATAATAAGGATGTAGGAGATTTTCTTTTTTTCATCAACTTCTTCTTGGTATTGATTGCGTTTTAACTTGTTTTGTTTTGTTTTTTTTTCATTTCTTGGACTGCAGTCAATCTGTGAGTAACAGCTGGCAGACGGTCGCAGATCACATCAAAACCACACAGTTTACTGTCAAAGGTCTCCGTCCCAACACCATCTACTTGTTCATGGTCCGAGCGGTCAACAGCCAGGGCCTCAGTGACCCCAGCCCCATGTCAGATCCTGTCAGAACACAAGGTAACTAAACATATTTAGAGTTGTTTCAAACGGTTTCATCACTTTAATGATGCTACAAACAGTTCATAAACATTCAGTTTGCACCGAGAAGGTCACTCTGAACCATCTTTAAATGTTGATGCTGCAGCGAAAGGCTTTATTGAAACAGTGAACAATGTTCCAGTCATATTCTCCATCTTAGATCCCCAGCTCCTTAAACAACACTTTAACAAAATGCAAAATAACTATGTCTACTTTTGCTCCATCAATAATCAGAAGTGGAAAAAAATTACTGCCTCCAAACCGAAGAAGATTTGATTACAGTACTGGACAGACCACAGTCTCCAGATTACAATGATATGATAAGTCCCGGGGAAAAGAAAATATAATGAAATATAAAAGTGTCTTGTGGCCACGATCTGTCAAAGTGAAGCCCAGAGTGCGTTTGTAAAACTGGAAAAAAAAGGAAGTGGAGCCTTTCATGAGGTGAAGGTCTTGAGATGATATATACGTGAGGTTATTGACAATGTCATGCATTGATGACAAATGGATTTTTCACTTCCCTTTAACTGTGTTTGATCTCCATTACACAGTTAGTGTGGCCTGTGATTCATGGTGCTGTTGAGGTGTTTAACAGAGATTTCCTTTTTAATTATTATTTTATATATAATTTACCCCTGTGACATTTTACCCCCTTAATTCTTTCATTCAGTATGTAACTCCAAATGTGGTTTTCCCCCGGCCACACTTAATATCTCATGCACTTTTTATTGGTTGTAATGTAAAACAAATGTTTTTACCAATGGGAAATGAGCTGCAATATAGTGTTACACTGTCAATTTCCCATTTAATATATCTGGGCTCAATGATTTGTAAAAATATGATGAGGAGGATTCCATCTCTGGGAGCACATTTTTGGTATACTCTTTTTGTCTTCTTATTTTATTTATTTTACTCTTCTCTGCAGACATAAGTCCACCAGCTCAGGGCGTTGACCACAGACACGTCCAGAAGGAGCTTGGCGACGTCATAGTTCGGCTGCACAACCCAGTCGTCCTGAGCCCCACAACCATTCAGGTCACATGGACGGTGAGTGTTGCCATATCACAATCAGAGTGTGAATCATTTTGGAATCTTTCAGAGTGAATCATAACACAAAAAGATCTCAAAGGAGTTGCCAGAAAATGTTAGTTTAATATCTGGTTTTCATGTTTCAATGGCTCAGTCTTTTGAAGTTTTTTTCCTTTAATATTTTTTCCAAATTTGACTCATAAAACGTCAAGATAGTTAATATTACCATGAGAATCCTTGTCTGAAGCCAAAACATAGCTCCTTCAGGCCCCTGTTGGAAACTTCACTCAGGTTCTTTCCTAATCCTTTGATATTCGGACCTCAAAAAGAGGAAATGTGTTTTTATTACCATGGTAAACATGAAAAAGATATCTGGTTGGTTCTTAATCTTATAGATTGTCATCGACTGCTCTTGTAAATATAGAACAAACAGTGAAAAAAAACATTAAAAGATAAAAATATAATATATACTTAGCCCTTTTTACTTGTAATTCAAGCACATGTTGAGAACCACATCATTCAGAAGTCTTGGCTGCTTTGCCAGGGGTTGTGGGGGGTGGTGGGGTGGGAGGGTCATGGATAGGACTTAAAACCACATTTGAAATAATCATCTTAGATTCATTAATTAAATGCCCCTAACTGCCGTTTTAACAAAATATTGCAATGCCCTGAATTTATCAGCTTAATTATATTTAATTGAATTTAAAAATTAAAAGCCACAGCCTTTACTAAAATGCATTTTCAATTCAATTCTGTGATAATGAGACATAGATATTACTTATGTTCTTCCGAGCTGAAGTGTTCATAAAATATATGCCCGGCTTTATACTAATTGTGGTGCTCTAAATCATGCAGATATTTACAGTGTGAACCACTCACTAAGTGGCCTGTGGCGCCGTTCTCCATTTTCAAATGGAACACATTAGCACTTTTTTCTGATGACATGTTTATTCACCCCTATGATAAGTCTCACCTCCAGACCCGGCTAATTTAAAGCTAAAGCATTGCCTTGTGATTGTAATGTACAATCAACGGGAAAAAAAATGGCCGTGCAATCAATCAGGGGGCCTTTTCAGTAAACAGAGGGGCCACTCCCACGGAGCTTTTATATTCCCAAATCATTCCATTAATAAAAGTCGTGTGCTAAGCAGGGGATCCATTTTGCTGATTTACTCGGGGCACACTGGCAAAAACAGCTGCTTAATATCCCACTTGAAAGCCTTGCTCACTTTTTTGCCCGTTAACAAGCCATTACAATGAGATACACACCCGGTACCCCACTGCATAAATTCAGATTTCCTGTCTGACTAAATGAGCCCAAGTTTAGGGAGGTGGTGTCCTTTGTGGGTTGAAGGGGCGCTATCACACTTCCAGTCTCTTCGTCTTTTCTATGGGACATATCTTTCCTTATCACCTCTGCTGTGTATTCGCCTCGTGTCCCCAGGGCGTCTGTGCTCGCTGCAGCGTGATATTTGCAAGCTCACATCCCATGCTAGATATGGTGAGGCCTACTTTCCAGTGTCACCAGATGGAATTTATTATACATCTGAGACATGCATGTCTCCTCAAAGAAGGCATTACTTTTTTTTTTCCATGGAGGAAGACGCACTCACTCTAGATTGGAGGCGGGTGTATACGAGGTAATGGCAGGGTGTTAATTGAGCCAGGAGTGTCATAGCTGAATGCAAAAGGTCCATTATACAAGTAACGGCCTCTTAACCATTTTAAATATGATCCGGTGAGGAAAATATCCTATTGCATTATCTAATAGCTGGCCCAGATGATGTGTACTGGTATCACCCAAGCGGTTCTCTTCATTGCTCTAAAATAATAATGAAATCTTTGATGGATCACGTTCACAGGTGGATCGTCAGTCCCAGTTCATTCAGGGATACCGGGTTCTGTACAGACAAACTTCAGGACTGCCCTCTCCCGGACCCTGGCAGACCCAGGATGTGAAAATTCCCTCTGAGCGCAGCGTCATCCTCTCAGGGCTTAAAAAGGGAATTGTTTATGAGGTCAAAGTTCGACCTTATTTTAACGAGTTTCAAGGGATGGACAGTGAATCAAGGACGGCACGGACATCAGAAGAAGGTAAGAAGACCAATGTATTATTTATACTTTATATAGTTAACAGCTTTATAAGTGAGGTTGTCTTGGATGGAATGTTATTATTACTTATGTTATTACTAATAATGCATCTGTGCCTGCACAGTAGCATGGTGCTAAAACAACAGCAATAACAGAAGCAGCAAAACACATTTTTTGCACAACCATTAAAAGTTCACTCCCTATCAATGCCAGCGAAATCATTTTACTCTTATTCAGTTTGCCACAACTGGGAAACCCCCGTCTCCTGGCCCTTGTGTGTCTCAGACATGTGACATTTTAGAATTGGTTATTTGAATAAGTTGACATTTCAGTATTCTTAGTTTCTTTAGCAGGACATTTTTGTACTACATTTGGTACCAGGACCTGAGCAGACATAGCTTCAGTGTATCCACACACCTGTGTAGCCTCCCTGCTCTGCTTTTCTATGATTGTTGGAGTGAGTGCCATTCTTCTCCAAATCCATCAACCAGCAGCCTCAAGTCTGAGTGGTGATTGGACACAACACAAACTGCCTCCCACCAAAGACATCTGTCACCGATGGCTTGATTCCTAAAGGCTATGACAAGGCCGCGGACCAATATCACACACACACACACTGGACTTGACCTATCCTGAAACAGCGATGCCCTTAAACTAAATTTCACCTACCGTTCTTCAACTTCCATGTCTAATGACTAAAGATCAAATGCTTTATATTCTTTGAAGACACACAGTCCCACGGCTGCAGAAAGAAACAAAACTAACCTTTTTCACAGGAGACAAAGACTGTTTTACATCAACATCCAGTATGACTGGCTTTGATAGAAGACAGTTTACACCCCGTCAGAGTGACAGACCCATTTATTTTCCTTTTCCGAAGAGTCCATATCTCTTGTGACCAGCCAGTGTACTTACTCCTGTGGTGAAAGTGCCATCACATTACAGCTATTCCCAATACACACACATAGGAAGAGACATGCAGACCCAGCCTCCTCGTGTTGAGCCCCCCATAACTTTGACTGTCACAGCTTTACCAGTGCTGATAACAGTTGTGGACTATCTGTATCCCAGTCCCTTAGTGAGTTCCGTCACTTTCTATATCTGTCTCCCAAGTGTCTCTGTTGTATTCGGTCAACTAAGATAGCCGATACGCTGTCCAACCTCAGGTTGTGGGCCCCTCAGAGACTATGAGGTCATTGAGAAGGACAGTTAGATGTATAGAGGAAGTCTAGTTCACATGATAGTGACATGTCTTTCAATTGCAAGCTAAATTAGAAAGCACGTGTAAGGGTCACATGCTGCATTGCATGCATGTTTGCCATGATGACCATCCAGAATATCTGCTGTTGACAGATTTGACAAGAAGGCTTTAATGTAAAAATCATAAATGCACAACTGCTTTTGCAAACCATGGAGAAGAGTAGGTGTTGAAATATGGTTTTGTCATCAGTCGTCGTCAAGCGAATGACGATCAACTCATCTTTCCCATTCAAACATGCTGAACATTATATCATAGCCTGCTGGTATTTAAAAAAAATGTAACAAAAAAAAAACATGGCCGCCTCTGTACTGAGGTGTTTTACCTAATCTGAATGGAAAAATTTCATCCCAGGGTCATAAAAACAACATTTTTTCTTTAAGATTCTGGAATATCAATACATTATAACTGTCATTCAGAGAGTTGATTAATAATCCACCTTTGACTCGTGCTTCACTTTTCCCCTGAATAGTCTGACCATGACTAATGGTGTAAATGAATCCTGGCCGCCATCGTTTTCCCACTGAATGATTGTTTGGGAATTCACTGAGAAGTCTAAACATTAATGCAAGGAAATCCTTATTCAGGTGGAAGAGTTCTCAGTAATGTTTGTATAAATATTCATCCGCAGTTAGCCTGATGTTCAACCATGATGATGGCTGTCTCGTTAGCTGTTCCACAGTTTTCCTCCCACATATTCTCTGCTTTACATCAACTATTGGCTTTCTTTTCGCTATGGAAATTTGAATGTTGGCATTCGCTCATCATGCAACGCAGCGCCGCATGTACATGAGAGATCGGGGGGGTCACATTCCTGACTGCCATACATCACTCAGCTAATGGCTCTATTAGCAAAGCCTCCGAGGACACTAATGAAAAATGTGTATTGTTTAGTGCAAATATGCATGATAATAAGCTGCTAAATCATTCATAACATTAACTTTGAACGACATTGTCTCTGATGGCTGCAACGCACCAGTCCACCACTTTGTCACCTGGATGTAATTCAGCGTTGAAGAGCTCTGAGCACGAGGCTTGATCAGATGTTCCCTTGGTAGATTGCTTCTAATCTGGCCAAGGTGCTTGGTTCATCATTGGACCCATTCATCTTCCGTGGTGCCAGGGCTTCTGGCTCTCTGGGGGACCGTGTGGCCAATCGCACTGAGGGATGAGCACAGATTTACAGGGTGACACGTGCCATTTTGGATGGAGGCGAGGTGAGGGAGAGGCAGCTCAGGAGTAATTGACCTGTCAGTATTCTGCTGTGGTGCTGCTCCCCTGCCAGCCACTGCGGAAATGAGAAAACATTATTTTTAAAGCGTTATTTCCAGTTGGGCCAACTGTTATTTATTTCTCTGTTTGTTGCCTCCTTGTGGGGTCAGAGGATTGTCACCGTCAGAAAAACAAGAGAGTGAGGTTCATGAAAGGTTGGACCTGTCTTGTTCCGTCTTCTCTCTCTCTCGGGCTGTGGGTGCAGATCATTTGTTTAGATGAGGCGCATGTTCATCTTAACAATGAGCTTTCCTCTGATTTCTACCTACTGCCTTTGTGTTACCTGGCAGATCAATGGATTCAGTCGATATGTTTACTGAGACATTGTTTCCTTTCCCGGAAAAGTATTTTCTTTTTTACGATTCTTTCATTTCTTCACTTTAATCCCATAAGCTCTGACTTGTCACCGTGACTCAGCCAGGTTTTAACTTTATTGAGAGCTATTGTCTTACTATGCCAGGATGTCCGTCCACAAATCAATGCCAGCATTATTTGTGCGGCTCCACCGTCGTGAAACAGAGGATAAGCTATTAAAAAATAGAGAAGTTTTTTTAAGATGGGCTTAGCCATGTCAGACGTGCCCTGGTTTTCATGCGAATCCACCTCTAATGAGACAACTTGACAGCCTTCAGGCTCCAAGGCGATCCCCATAGAATAACATTTCCTGGAGAAGTATGTCTGCATTTGTGTGTCTGGTTTCTGAGCTCCAGCTCTGTCACATTCACACTCAATTCATTTCAGTTGATTCAACTCTGCATCCCATTAAACTATTAAAAACTCATAGGTAGGGTTTTGTTAATAACCGCACACTGTGCCCGAGGTGTCTCTTGGGAATGATTTTTGGAAAGAAAAGCTGAAGATCTGCTTTGTGTAAGAGATGTTGACACCACGGCACCACCGGTAGGATTTAAGGCTGTAGTATAGTATCATACCACTGCACTTAGTAATGGCTTACGGATGCTTTTTTATGCAATAGCAGGTCACAGTTTCTTCATAAATAATTAAAACGTAAATAAATAAATAATAAATAAAACAATAGACTATTTTGAAAAAAAAATCAAAATTTTTCCAAAAAAAAAAGAAAATTCAAATTAGGAAATTTAGTGAAGTGAGAATCTTTGTAGTCACTCAAACACTTCACTAATCTGTACAAAGCTGAAATTAAACTCACTCTCTGAAAGAAAGACAAACACTAAATGTTAGCCAAAAAAAACCAAAGTAACTATAAAATAGAAAAAACAGATGAAGTATTAATAGAAATGTTAAAAAAAGTTACCAAATATGATTTGAAAAAAAATGACCCCTCAAACATATTTGATATTTTTATATTTGAATATTTAAGAAGTTTATGGGACCCAAAACGTATTTGAAGAAAAAAGTCATGGTCTGCAATACATGTTCCCGCCATGCTTTGGAGTATAATACATATTGAGTATTGTCAAGTGTACCGCTGTACTGTATGTAACACCATGTCTGATAATGTGTTTATCTGACTGTTGACAAGGTTATTTTTCTCCCCCACCTTCAGCTCCCAGCGCTCCTCCTCAACAGGTAACAGTACTGACCGTGGGAAGCCAGAACAGCACCTCCATCAGCATCTCCTGGGACCCCCCTCCATCAGACCACCAGAACGGCATCATCCAGGAGTACAAGGTCTGTTGTGGCCAACTCCACATGAATTCTCATTTAACTGACTCAAAGCTCAATGGATTCAACTTTTTTTTTTCCTCCTTTTTTTCCTCTTCCCTCTCTCTGCCTTAGATCTGGTGTCTCGGAAATGAAACACGCTTCCATGTAAACAAGACAGTGGACGCAGCCATACGTTCTGTGGTGGTGGGTGGGCTGCAGGTGGGAGTATTGTACCGAGTTGAAGTGGCTGCCAGCACAAGTGCGGGGGTTGGAGTCAAAAGTGAACCTCAGTCTATCATCATTGGTAAGATCTGATTGGAAAAAAAAAACAAAGAAAAAAAAACGTTACAACATTCAGTTTCTCCAGCTGTTTCTCTACAAAGCAGCACTGTGTTAATGTTATGGGCGGGGTCAGCAGATGAGCAAACTGTCTGGGTGTTTTTTGTCAAACACTCGCTGTTTCCAATTTGATAACATTTTCGCGTAAAAGTCGTTTTTTTTTTGTTTTTTTTTTAAATGTGGTGTAGCCACACGTGATTTATATGGAGCTGAGGCAGATTGTGCTTGATTTGACCCATAACTGATGGCTTGGCCTGTAGCATGTTCTTATTTCCCCAGTGTCACTCACATAATCCATCTTCCAGTGCGAAGCCTCAAGCTTGAAGTTCTTTCATGTTTGCAGATGTGCAGATGGGTGTGTCCTCGTGGTTTTTGCGTCAACACGATGAGAAGCTGTTGTGCATCTTTTCATGCACGCCCGTGTAGTGTCACTGTACATATATGTTACACATATGGAACCATGTGTTGTTGCTTTGTTTCTCACCATGCCCCTAAAAAACAGTGTCGAGCTGCCGGAGTGAGCGGCGATTGGAGATCGATACAAAGCAGGGTTTTCTGTCTCTCATTTCTCATTTGGCATGGTGTGTTTTACTGGCAACGGAGAGAATTAGAGGCTGAGCTCAGCACACAGTCTGCTCACCTGGGGTTTTGTTCTAAGCTTTTTTAGGCTTTGTCTTTTTCAGTCTGAACATTATATTTCCTTCCACATCCTCCGGTTCCTGAGCTCCTCATTTTTGTCAATATCCAAGATGAAATTCATCAGAGCTGCTTAACCCAGCACTAAGACCGCTTCTATACTTAGAGTCTGTCTTCTTTTGTGGGATTTTAGAGACCAAACCATCAAAAAGTATGTTTTGTACTCTGGTTTAAAGTATAATTGATCAAATTTGTGGTGATGGTGTTGGTACCTGTAACTGTAAATAAGTACAGCACTCCTGTTATACATGATTTCATTAACTTTCACCTTAGAGCAGAAAATCATCCACAGCCGTGTTTTTAATTTCAGCTTCACTTCAGCAGACATCCACCTGACTTTGCACTCAAGCTGCGTGCCTTTCCCTCTGCCCTCAGGTAAAGAGTTTCGGGATGTGATTATACACGGGAACCGGAACAACAGTATCACAGAGCAGATCACAGATGTGGTTAAGCAGCCTGCTTTCATCGCGGGTATTGGAGGGGCCTGCTGGGTCATCCTCATGGGTTTCAGCATCTGGCTGTACTGGAGAAGAAAGAAGAGGAAGGGACTCAGCAACTATGCAGGTTGGTCTCTCGTCTCCTTTGCAAATTACCGCGGGTATTACACTTGTGTGCCGTGGCAATTTTTTTCCGCCACTCAGCAAAACATATTTTCCCCAAACCACATCCAGCACATACCTTCATTTGAAATTTGCCTCCTGAAAAGAGTGTGAATTTAACAAGCAGGTGCAGCTGTTCTGATTCAGCCTATGGTTGCAAAGTCATTCCGAAAGAAACTAGAATCAGAATTAACTTTGGTTATCAAAATGAAATACTTTCAGCTTCATTTAAAATTGTGCCCAAGATAAGGGTTTTCAATAGAACATGGTGTTATTTTTGTGAAATCCATTTATATTAAGAGGAGAATATCGATAAATTAAAATATACATTTTAGTCCACATTGTGTTTTACTATGAAGGTAAACATTAAATTTTAAATTGGATTGCATAGTATGGATAGTACTCCTACTTCCCTTCCTCTCATTAACACATGCTCTAGTCATAGTCAGTGCAGGTTTGATGCAATGCAGTCTGAGCCGGCGGCCTTGAAGAATGAGGCAGATGTCAGTGTGTATGTGATCCAGAAGGCTGCAGGTTTTTTTGACAAATCCACCCACGTAGTTGGTGAATAGCCCAGGGTGATGGAGTTGAGTAGGCAGACTGGACTCTCTGCTGGTCACTGAAGCTGGAGTTCATCTCACACTCCTCCCACACACTGACCCTGACGCCTTACTAAACAAACGCAGGTCAATACAGGAAACCACCGAGTCCAATGGTATAAGATTTAATTAGAGATCAGGAATGCTAACTAACCAACTAACCATTTTTTGCATATTTTTTCTTTTGCTGTTTTAAGAGAAGCAAACATGAATTCTGTTAATTTTATTGTCTGTCATTATTTTTTTTGTGTGTGTGTTTTCTTTGGTTTGTGCCACCATCTTTGCATCTCTGTAGCCTCTGAGCTGGCTGCTTTCCTGGCTGCATACCCTCTGCACACTGGGTGATGATGTAGTCCACACTGTCTGGCCCTCACCAGCTTTCCGCCCTAAATCTATTCTTATCCTCAGTGTGCAGATAGCCCTAAAGCACTGCTTATCCCTGCAGGCCTTTTAACGCACAACTTCTCTGTCTTCTTGTTTTGCAGTTCAGTCCTTCACCTTCACCCCTGCAGGTACTGTTCATTTGTCCTGTCTACTCACCACTGCCTCAACACAGAAATCATCGTCTTACCTTTTGTAGTATTTCCTAGATGCTTGCCTTGTATGACTGGGTGTCAGGGTCAATGCAAATCTAAACTGTAAAAAAATTAACATAAAACACATTGGGGAAGTTAAGAAAACAATTCCAAATTTATTAAAAGCCCTGACGACAGCCCTGCAAGCCTTAACTCTATTTGCTTCTCAGATTGTGTGTCTATTTTTATGTGAGTTTCCATCTCGTCCTTCATATCTTCCTTAAAGACAGTCTTGTGGTATAGAGTCAGAGACTGTCCTCCTCCTTTCCTGCCTCTCCTCAAATAACCACATTCTTTTTTTGGATTTCTCCTCCAGACTTAAATTATATCAAAATTAGCATTAATCTGTCTTTTAGGTGTCAGTTGGTCTGATGGATGTAGCATTTTATTTTTTTCTGCCCCCTCTTTTCGGCCATGCGTCCTTGTGATCTAAGAATATCAGCCTTTACTGTGGTTATATATGCATATGGCTACTTTAGCTGGGATATTTTTTTTGCTTAGTGGTAAACTATGGTCACTTTTATGGCTTTAATACTGACAAATAGATTAAAGGCTGAAGATATTATAAATATATATGTATGTATGCTATTTCTTACAGCCTGTGAGTCAGATGTGAGACATGTAGTTACCACTGCTTTAACAGATGAAGAAAAAGACAACGAAAAAAACCTAAATTTCAAACATCTCTCATCAACACAAAGCTCCAAATGCCTATTATATTTTTATTTCCTTTTATTAAGAATAGTAAATACACGGATTAGTCTTTGCGTTCTGCATTCCTACCATTAGATGTCACTATTTGAAAGAGTTGACTTTTAGGGGGCTCTGTCAATGCCCGAATCATTTATAAGTGACTACAGAAGGTTAGAACATAGTAAATATTCCACCAAATATTTTAAGTAGTGGGATGAAGCCAAAGAATTCCCCAAAGAAGCCCCTGCTACATGTTATCAGTGTGTGACTGATAACTGGGGAGATGAAGAGGTCAGGGGTCGGCACTGTGTCCCTTTTTCCTTTTCTATACTAACTAATAACATTTTAAAGTACACAGAGACCACTGTGATCCCAATGGAATCTACAGCCGAAAACCCAATTAACTCCTGCCTTTTCCACAGCAGCCGGAACAACAGATTATGAAATACATTAATAAGGCGGCAGAACTTGACTGGATATTCTCGAATGGCCACTCACCTCCGAGGAGAGGAGTCACATCTATTCATTAGAACACTTTGTTGAGTGGCACGTACAGGAAACTATATACTACACACATATATATATATATATGTATATATATGTATAAAATACAGCAGACGTTATGAATTTGGCAAAGAGAGATTTAGGTTTAGCCAAAGTGTGGCCGGAGACTCTTGCAGTGCCGCTTCTCGGCCAAACTGACAATTAGCTGATGTATCACGAGTGTCCAGTTTCAGCCTCCTGTCAGTTACAGGAGAGGTAAATTATTAGACTACGGTGGCACGCAGCCAGCAGGAAAGAGGTTTGATGGAATTTTATACACTGATTATGTGAACCTACCCCCCACCAAATGCTTATTAAAGCGGATTAATCTATATTCATATTGGAAAAAGTGCTTATCTGGGAGAGAGAGGCGAGACGCACAGCTCTGCAGCCGTGTCACTCCTGCGAACATAAAAGTGTTCCACAGCAGCCTAGAAATGTGCCTCAGTGCAGATATGGACTTCACAGGCCTCCCTGCTGCACAGCCTCCACCTCGCTCTCCTGTCACTCCTCCCTCACTCCACAGAAAACTCTCTCGTGCAGGTTTGCCAGTGATGGAACAAAGACACAGAGCCGCGGCTGTTACTAAATAAGAAAAACCAAGTCGCCTTAAGCAGTGGAGTTGCACACACACACAGACCTGTAATGTCTGTTTTTTATCAGAGTAAAACTCTTGTGCGTAACACCTATTTTAATTCCACCTGCTTGTGTTCATTTGTTTAAACCTGATTGTCATAAACAGACTCTCCACTGTTTCTACACCAAAGTCAGACAAATTTAAACTGTCTCGTGTTGTTTTAAATCCTAAAATTATATTTGTGAAACAGAATTCAGCTTAAGAAAGCTCAGTAATGTTGACAAAGCATCGATATGTGTTTTTAGCGGCCTCTGTAATCCACGGTGGGGGTTTCCTCCCGCAGTCACGTGCAGTTCGACGTCAAGCGCAGAAAAGCCCCCGCTCCCTCGTCCATGCCTGGGCTTGTTGTTAAATCTGACAGAATGAAATGGAAGAAGAAGAAGAATGCTTCCTTCCCGCTTTAATCTCCATCTGTGGAACACATGAGCCAAATAACTAACAGCTCTCTTCCTCTTTCTTGAGGAAACTATCTTTCATTTTCCTGTCCTCACTCTTTCTTCCTTTGGTATGTGGTGATTTTTTTAAAACCTTGCTGCTTCTCTGTGTGATTCACTGAACTTCTTAAATGCTCAGAACTCCTGTCGTTGTCACGGTCGCTGAGATAAAAAAGATACTTTACAGCCTTCTCTCACTTTGAACCGTGGAGTTTTACAATCCACAGACATAGAGCGGCCTTGTTATCTATAGATCACCGTAATGGAATGGTGGCTGCATGCAGGGCTCGTGGCCGAGCGCTGCCAGCACTCAGCTTCTGAGCTCACAAATAGGATATCCAATATGATTAATGAGGCCTCTGCCTTTTCTAATCAGCTTTTTGGCTGAGATTTAATCACAAATCTGATAACATCACAGCAGCAAAAAGAAAGATGAAATGAGTTTCCCCTCTCATCGTGTATCTCATCCTTGACGTCTCCACTTAATGCAGAGCAATAAGCGATTGTCATCAATGCACTCGTGTCTTTTGGATTTTTTTTTAATTTTCATGAAAGACATTTGTTTCAAAGGGGCATTCACAACATTTGTTGAAGGCATTAACTATGTGGCTGTGTAATAAAAACATAACAAATGTGTATTAATCTCCACCAGCACAGAGGAAAACAATACTGAAAAAATGTCATCTGAATGAAAGTACTAAAGCATGTTGTTTATTTTATGATGAAAAAAAAAAACTAATATCTTGTGCTGTCCTTCTCCTGACTTTTGTTTCTGACTTTAGTGACCTTCCAAAGAGTTGACGGTGGTCTGATGAGCAATGGAAGGTGAGTACAACACAATCTGAATTAAATCTTCTTAAAACCCAGTATGAAAAATAGAAAAACAGAGAATATGATTTGAAATGGCTATTTTTATACCACACTGGGTGAAGTGGACAGAACTTTTGCCTTACTTGAAGAAAGTCACTGGTTTGATCCTGGGTGGTAAATTATATTCTTGTGAGTTTTCTTGACCTGGTACTGTTTTCACCCATAGTCAAAAACCAGACTAGATGGTTAGGACATGTCGATCATTCACTCTAAGTTGACCATAGGTGTGAATGTGGGTGTTAATGTTTGTCTCTTACACCTGGTCCTGTGATGGACTGTGAATTATTCTGGGCGTTCCCTCGTCCTCACCTAATGAATTCTGGCTCCACCTTTTGCCACAACAACTAAAAAAGAGTAAGTGCTAGAAGATGCAAATGAGTACACAAACAATTAACATTTTTTTCTCAAATTGACAAACCTGCCTCAAGTGATTGTTAACAAGACGTTTCTTTAAAATCCGTCCTTTACCAAGACTTCACGTTGCATCCAAATAGCAACTTTTGTGTTCTTTAAGATACAATCAGTCTCTGCAGTACCAGTACCATCTTCACATATCTTTACATGAATCCTCCCCAATCATTTATCATGTCTACAGCAAGCTGCTCTTGATTCCCGTACTGATAAATGACTGATAGATTGATAGATACCGATACCTCTCCGTGCGCCTACCGTGCAAACTGGCGTGGAAATGTACATTCCTAGCACATCTCCATTCGTGCATCGACAGATGAACTCATAAATCTCCTGCACGGAATTAACAGAAACAATTTAAGCAGAGAGTGTTTTTATTTTGTCATTTATCTTCCATTGCTGGCTACAGCCAACCCAGAAGCCCTCTGGAGTGATAAATTTGCCTGTCATCTCGCGTGGGCGGCTGGAATCTGAGCACATGTAATAATGTAAAAATAATTACCCTGGGGAGAGGTGTGCGGAGGTACCCCGCATGCACCCCCATACAGACTGCTCCATTTCAGTGCGTGTTAGTGAAAGAGCGAGGAGCTTCAGAGAACAGGGCACATCTCAATGACACCAGTTACTGAGCTTTGTGGGTATTCAAGAGACTCCCCCGAGAATCACAGGCTTCCATCCATCTACCACTTATCACACCTGGCTACGTGAAAACCTCCTAGACTCAAACACTCGGCAGGAGATTGCCAACTAAATCTGACCCAGTGTGTCTCAGGGCTTCAGGGAACGGATGTGCAGGAAGCAGTTTTATTTAATTTTTTTCCCCTCTCTGTCACAGTTTCCGTACCACGATTGTCTTCTAAATTGTCTTTTAAGTGTTTAAGAGTTCACTTTTTTTTTTTCCAAGTATATTTTAGATTTACTGGATGCCTCACATGTCCTCCAGCTGTGGGCGCTCTGATTTTAGCTCAGCCCTCTCTTAGTTCATCAGTAAGAGAAGGGAGTGTACTGCTTGTGTTCAGTATTTTTGCTGTTAGCAAGTAAGTTAGACAAGCTTTGAGGGAAAAATGAATTGCAATTACAGCACCTGAAAAGTAGTTTCCGTTTTTCTTGATCAAAAGTCTGAACGGTTGGTATCATTAACATAATACAGACACACTCATAAAACTCAAAAATAAAATTCAAAAGAAAAATCACAGACCCATGGTATATAACTTGAAACAATTTTGCATTCATTGTTTTCTGAGCTGCTGCCATGCTCTCAGTGAATTAGCCACGCCGCTTGTCAAGCCTTTTCTCATCTGCTTCCCACTGTTGTTTTTTTCTCTCAATTTTCCACACAAGCGAGTCAGGTTTTTACAGTCAACAAATGTGTTTCGAATGTCTCTGTATTTTTGTTGTTTGTCCTCGTCATATCTTTAGTCGGGAGCAGTGGCTGCCATCGTTTTCACCACACTGACATGCTGGAGGACGCAGTCCGGGGCACTCGTTCTAACGCAATCCGTTAGTCACTCCAGTGCCATCAAATCACAGATGTTGCAACATTCCCATCTGCCCCGCAAGCAGAAAATGTGTAGCAGAGAATCAGAGGACGATGTGTTCATTTGTTACATGAGATGTTTATTGCATTAATTAGACAGTAGCAAATGAAGCTGCGTCTGTTCCCAGTTCCTCATTGGCTCCTGCCAAATTGCTCTGACTGAACAATTACACTTAATCGATCACAAAACAAATGATTCATGGAAGATGAATAGGCTGCAGATTGGTCGGTCTGGGCGATTTGATTTCGGCTGCTCAATTGAAATTGATAAAAGCCGATATGAGCTCATTGCTTATCCCTGCTGCCAATAGGGAGGTGGTAATTAGAAGGTAGTAATAACTTCCTATCCTTGCACTGATCAATATTATAGTGAAGCAGATTCACTCCTGTGAGGCAAAGTGAACAGGTTTCACTCACACTGTTGCTATGGAGATTCTTCTGCGTGTGAGGAACTGAATGCTTAATGGAAACAATGTCTTGGAGAGTTAATCTAGTAGTAATCTGGCTTTCCAGAAGTGCGTTCACTAAAGTGTCTAGACTTTTAATCCAAGTGCTATTTACCAGTCTGTAGGAACATAAGCACCTGATTTATGGAGTAGCCTGGAATTAATGTCTCTCACCTGGCTTATTTATAGGGAGCTCAGTGTCAGGGCTGTAAGGCTGTATTTATGGTTTGCTACTCATCACAAGAAACCGAAACGTCTAACAGGAAGAGGAAGCAGAGTTTTATCTGCCAAGGTTGCAATCCATCTAAGTTAGCTGTCAACTTTTTATTAGAAGTATGACCCAGTGTCCACCTCCTACCTATTTTCATCGCCCCACCATCGTATAAGCACTGGCACAAAGAACACACATAACGCACAATATAAAGTCAAATGTATACCCCGGTGAAAATGAGTCTCATTTTAATTATCCTCAGCAGCAATACAGCTGCGTGATGAATACAAGGACAACGTGGCCATTCCCACTGTCAAGCCCTTGTCTTTCAAATGGTTCTTCTCTAGTGAGCTGAGGAGGACTTGATGAAGCCCAGGCTGCCAGAGAGGGTGTTGATGAGACAAAGACATTGTGTTTCATTTCACACTGTGTATAGTTGTGGCGCTGTTTTGCTGAAGTGTGCAACGAGAACAATGACCTCTCTTTTTCATCCGCTTTTAGTCTGACAGATTCTAAGCACACAGGAGTCAAGACGGAGAAATGAAAAGGAAAGGGGATGGAGGAGTATCAGAGGGAAACAAAAGGGGGTTAAGGAAAGATGGTATGGTGAAAGAGAATAATGGCAGTTGTGAAGCATGGCAGGCAGAAATGGTGGTAAAAGGACGGGGAGAGATGTATTACCCTATAAAAGTGCACGTGTCTGATGCACAGCCATCAATTTGAATGACTTTTTCCCCCTGAGGGCCTGTTTTTGCATTCAGAAACCACTGCCAGGGTTCTTAGCCAGCCAGTGCTGCAGTTTATTTGGGCTCCCTACGCTGAAGAACAGCTCTGCTCATTTAGAACCTGTGGCTGTGGGAGAAACTGACTGCAGGACGCCCATTACCTGCTCTTGTCCTCAGGGCTCGACTCATTCCAAGTCCCTCAGAGGCAGCACATCACCCCAGTGGAGCTGAAGCAAAAAGCTCCACCAGGAAGCCAGGCTGCTAACTACTGTGTTACACAGCTGCTCGGAATTTGCCAATATTCTGTAGTCTGCTACATGCAGCACTGCCATGTCCTGGCGACGGGGAGTGTTGTGTTCATCTGGAGGCAGCGCAGTCCTCTTTATCACACGCAGTGCTCAAAATGTAATTCATTCTGAGTCCCTCAGAAAAAACAAATCTCCTGTGTCGTCTGTGTTTATAATAAAATAATGTAGCGTTTTTTTTTGTCATGGGAAGCCAGACATAATCATAATCATCAGACGCCTGAAAATTCTTTAAAAACATACAAAAAATATTAACATATATATAATTAAAAAAACAAATTTAAAACATCAAAGAAAAAGAACAGGAATTCAATGTAATCAAAAAAGGAGAATAGCAAAGCATGGTAACAAATATTTATAAAAATAAATAGGATTAAAATGCCTTTAAATAAATAACATATTTAAAAAATAATATTTAACTGCAAGAACCTGGCAGAAATCCAGGTTGCAATATTATTTTATATATTACCAAATGTGATTTCAAAATAGTAATAAAATAGACAATAAAATAGCAATCAACTAGTAACCACATTTTTAAAACACATTTACATTAATAATAATTAGATGAGTTGAGAAGCTGTAGGCCAACATACAGTTCCTCTGGTACTGTGACAATAAATCCCCTTCAGTTGTGGTGTAATAAATGAATGAATATAAGTCATTGTCGAAACACAGACAAAAGAATGGGACCTGTGTCAATCGAACATACTAGTAGTAATGAACCTGTACAGTAAAGTGGCCCTAATGGACTCCCAGCACTCACCCATGACAGGTTAAAGCCTTAATGGCTGCGTTTTATGGGGCTCACCCCTCAGGAGGGACACAACACCTGTTAAATGGACCTACCTTTTCCCTTATGCCAAGATCCCACAAGTGAGTGTGGGCATCACAGTGTCTCCATGCTGAGGTTTGACGTCTCATCAAATAAGATTTACAGTGTCTGGACATCACTGCGAGGGGTAGATGGGAAAACACAGCAGATCGGACATGATATTAACAGATATATGTATATCACACGCGGGCGTCGACATGCACTGCTACGCATGTGTGTGACAGAGAGCAAATGCATGTATTAGTGTCTCCACAGTGTGCTTTTTCATTAATATTTTTTGAGAATGTGACAGAGACACAGCAGGGAAGAAACAGGGAGATAAAGGTCTGGCTTTGCCTGAAGGAATTCCAACTTTGTACCAGAAGCTGCTGTATATGGGGCATTATTTCCTCTGAGTCTCTTAGAAGTCTTTCATAAGCTTCAAAGGCTTATTGCAAGCTTATCTCATGCAAACACACACTATTGCAACAGAACAACACTGAAACATATGTTTGATTATTTTTTTGTTCTTGTTCTTTCTTGTCATTGATTGTTGTCAGGCTTTTTTGTTATTTGATACAATTTTTATGATGCAGAATTGAGCAACACATTAATCTTCTTCTCCCTCTCATGTTTACGCTCAGTCGACCAGGACTATTGAACGCCGGTGACCCAGGCTACCCCTGGTTAGCAGACTCTTGGCCAGCCACCAGTTTGCCTGTCAACGGCAGCTCCGGGGGACCCAATGATTTGAGTAACTTTGGCCGAGGAGGTGAGTTCTGTTGTCCGGATATTTTTTTAGCTAAAGAAAACAATTCAGCAGATTAAAGATAAGAAGCTATCTTGTTTTTTTGTTCAACTTGAGCTCCAGCGTGTAATCACATTTAGTTGTAGTGTTTAATGTTTTTTTTAAAGCACCACAGGGCCAACTGCTCCTTCTTATAAGGCACAAATATAACTAAGCCAAATACAAATTTATTGCTTTCCGACAGATTTGTTTTAATGCCAATGTTGCGTTAGTGCAATAAACCTAACAGATTTGTTTTAATGCCAATGTTGCGTGCAATAAACCTAATTTGAATGGTCGATTTTACTAATCATTTAAAGACGTTGCTTAAAGAAGTTCAGAAATAAAAATTAGGGCAGAAATTAGCAGTGAATGTTAGCAGTAAAACTTCAGAATAAGGAAACAGCCAAAACAGAGGTACAATTCAAATAAAAACAAACCAACAAACAAAAGCTTTAAAGATAGGCAAATGTTTAGTGAAAAATTAGCCCAAAGCTAATTTTACAGCCTAAAATAGCTTAAAGTTAACACAAACATGTTATTGATTCTTATATAATCCTACAAATTCTCATAGATATTCAAACGTGCCTGTCCTTAAACAAAATGAAGACATATTGCTGGCAACACGAACCCCTGACTGACCCGCTGACCACATTTTGAGCACTGTAGTTGTTCGTATACGCATGCGGGATGTGAATGTACAACTTATCAGGCGTATGTTGGAAAACACATGTATATATCACATCGGAGGACAGCCATTAACCACGAGGCCTCCACTGTCAGCAGGCTGAATAATGGCAGATAGTCCAGCCTGTTGTCAGGGCCCATACCTCAGAGTGAGAGAATGTGTGAGGAGATATGGGCAGAGGAGCAGGGGGTGGACGATGGTTTGAAAGGATGGTCTTGAGCAGCCAGTCGTGAAGGACAGAAACAGCTTGACTGGCCCAGATGCGGACACTTCCGCCGTGGCTCTACATCATCTCCCCTTCAGTGGGCATGCAAAACGCGTGCTTTGAAAGAAAAAAAAGACTGCCTTCCCTTCCCCTCACTCTGTGACACATATGTAGAGTCGTAGTGTGATCCTCTGATGTGTATGAACAAAGGACAGAGGATAGTGACAGATCTGCATACAATAAAAAAATATAACTCTCAAGGTCAATGGGTGAGTCAGTCTTAATTCACTCAGAGATGCATAGATGACTGGTTATTCAGTTCTATAAATTGTAACTGGAAAACCTTTAATAGATTTACATCATCAATAATGTATATAGTAGTAGGATGACCTTTGTGAACTCTGCTCTCCATGGTTATGCTTGTGGTCTTGGCTGACCTCTGTGACCTTTGAAGATTTCTCTCCAAACTGAAAGTTTAGTTCATGAAAAAAGCTGACTTCTGAAACCAAAAACTAAATTTTAATGCTTTTAACAACAAAAAGCAAAGTTTGAACCTCCCATTTGGTTTAACATTTAGTTAAGTTTTACCCATTCCCTTACAACTTAAAGTCAGCCTTGACATTTCCTACTTTTTACTTGTTTCACTCATATTTATTCTGATTTTGATATCATTTAGCAAACATTCTGTGGCTTATTCACATTGCTCTTTTAACCAAAGGCAGTTGTTAAGCTCTTATTAAAATGTAAAGTGCAGCGTTTCTGCATCTGTTGATAAATAGTAAATTGCATCCTGACATGGCAATTAGTTTCCTTTTTGTCCCAGTGCACTTCTCACGCTGCTACAGTAGTTGCCGTGAGGCAGAACGTAATGGTGTAATCGATAACAAACACTCCATGTGACTAAGGCTTCTGGCACTTTCCTGCTTTTTAAGGGTTTTTGGAAACTACATGTGAAGCCAACCCCTACTCTCTCTCCCTCCCCTCAGATCTCCCCACTGCTCCTGCAGATAAGACTGGCACCATGCTCTCTGATGGAGCCATCTACAGCAGCATAGACTTCACCACCAAATCCAACTACAACAGCTCTGGCCAAACTTCCCAGGCCACTCCTTATGCCACCACTCAGATTCTCCACTCCAGCAGCATCCATGAGCTGGCTGTGGATCTGCCCGAGGCCCAGTGGAAGGCGTCGCTCCAGGCCAAGCAGGAGATGACCAACCTCGGCTACTCCCTGCCCGACAAGAATTCCTGCAACAACAGTAAGTCAGACTGAAGTGACAAATTACTGTGACAAAAAAAAACAAAAACATTTTTATAAAGGGAAAGTTTTAACCGTGTTGTGAGAGATTTCAAAATGTCTATAGAGAGTGTTTCAGCTGAAGCAAATGAATTCAAATATCCGAGGTCACGTTCATTGAGATTTGAAACTCCTCTACCCAGAGACTCTGGAGCATCTTTAAACCTCCTGCAGATGTTGAGGTTGTTTGGGGAGGTTGCCTTGAAGAGACTCATTCTTCCTTCTGCAGACATTATCTTGATGGCTTTCCAAGGCTAAATAAACACGTTTTAAAGGAGTTAGCAGAGATAAGTCATCCATTTTCCCCTTGCAGGGTTTCCAAGATGTGTTTCCCGTTCCTTCAGTCTCCTTCAGTTATTCCAATGTATTTCAACATGACTAATATTTAAGAAAACAATCCCTAAGACTTATTGGAGATCAGATAAGGGATTTTATAGCTGAGCTGAGTTCCATATTTATGATGCCATAATCATTCCCTGATTTATTTTAATTCATATTTATGATCCAATTTCCTACACTCTAAACCTAAAAACGTGTAATTTTCACACAGTCCACAGAAGGCTATGAATCTTAATCTTAAAAATAACCAGTGTCGTTTCCTGTGGTGTTGGTTCAGGGCCTTTGATGTATGATTTTATATATATATAATACTCTGCTATCAGCGCTTCTATCCTCAAATCAGTAACAAATGTCCAGCAAATGTGTGTAAACGAATGATGCTTTAAATCTGCGCCGTGTGTTTGATCGTTTGACAGCTGACGTGATCCTGCTTGCTTGTTGCTCTAACTGCATGTTTGCATGTGCTTGTGCTATGTGCCAATCACCTGACGCCACTGTGGTTTTTGCCCTTTAACCCCCATTGTAGCCCTCCTTTTCATTCCTGACTACCGATTGGCCGAAGGATTGTCAAATAGAATACCTCACAACCAATCACAAGATTTCAGCACCACCAGCTCTCACAACAGCTCAGAGCGAAGCGGCAGTCTCTCAGGTTGGTTTTGTTCAGCAGAGAACTTTCTAAACTAAGTGGGGAAATTCTCCGGGGCTCTGCTGCCTGACTTTGTTTGATTGACACCTGTCTTAATTGCTTTATTGATCCAACTCTCATGTACACACCTGACAAGGGTTTTTTTAACCTTCCACACCTCACAATCCTTTTCTCACTGAGCTCACAGTGTTATGGGTAGGGATGCAGTGTGTCTGTGCTCTACACACCTTTATAAAAGAATATATTAAAAAAATATTTTATTTAACATGGATAGACTACTATTAATACTAAATTTAGTAGATTTACTCATATTTACTGCATATTTGTGTGTTACCTCGCTAGATGGGATTGAAAATGGGAAATGTAATATGACTTTTCCAATTTTATTAGTTTTTTTACATAGACTTATACAATAATTTACCATTTTTTCTCATACTATCATAGCTTAAAGCTTACACCCTACATCCAATATGACCATGATAAATAATTTTTTTTTGTTTCTGTCTTATGGAAAAAAAGCAGTGAATTTTAGACTAAACCACAGAACAACGTAACCATGCATTACACTGAATATATAGAATAACACAATCATCCTCTGACAGAATATGGCTGTTTCTGCTAATACAGGGTTCCTGCCATCACCGCTGGCTCTTGTTAAAGCTTTGTCTCTCAAAGTGCCACTGTGTGAAGATAGAAATTGGAGTGAAGGGAGTCATGCACACACAAACACACTAACACACACACTATTAGAGATGCTTGGCTGGATAAAGTGGCAAAAATACCTCCTTTTCTCCCTCTTTTCCTAATGGTGGCCACTATACTAAAGCCTATGCTGAGAGAATTACAATGTCATTTATAGGACACCCAGACAGCACTCAGCCTGCCTCTCCTCCACTCTCTTCTTATCTAGTTACATGCCGGTGCCCTAACTGGTCTCTAATTCAGTGCTCTGGCACACAGTGGACTGAAGAGAAGGATGTGAAGAGGCCCTGCTCTTGGTGCAGCTTCTTGTCTCGTAGACACAGCACATTATTGAAGGCTAGGAATAGGGTTTGATCCATGAATTAAAATTAGAATTAAAACATTTAATTTTCAATTAAATATAATGAGTACTATGTACTACAGGAACAGTGAATGATTCTAGTCTCTGGAAGTATAGGTTGCTTGATACTATTTGAAATTAACTTTATGCATCCCAACCAGCATAAAGTACTCCACTGAAGTGTGTCAATGGAAATGCTAAATCTGCAGAAATGAAACAGACCTATTAAAACACACCAGTATGTGACCACATGTTGATAGATTAGCACCTGGAGTTGGAGGCAGCACAATTGTAGTCAATCAAAGTAAGAGCTAAGTAATGTACTGGACCTTACAGCAGAAACCAGTGTTGTTGTTTTTTGGTGAATTGAAGACAATAAAAGTAAAGGTTGTTAAATGTAAGTCTCCATAGTTTGTGGCTGGAGTGAGTGGACAGGATCTCAAATATTCTGCAAAGCAGAGGAGCAGTGCATGCTGGGAGAGTAGGACCAAGGTGCCAGATATACTGTATGTAACTTGAAGAGCATGTAGGTGGAAGGAGAGTGTTGACGTTTCAGCAGCCAGACACAAGACCAGGCGATGCATTGATGTGCTTGAAAATGGTGTGAGAGAATTATTCACTTTGGCTTCTTCTACTCTGAGTCAGGAGGAAAAAGGAAGTCAGATGGTTGGAGTTTGTAAAAGGAAAAACAGTCTGAATCTTTTGTTGTTTACCTGGTTGTATGCTGTGAATATTAGATAGAGATTGGAGTCTAATGTGCTGAACTATGTAGTTATGTAGGTGAGAGCAAGGAAGGAGTTAAATTTTCTTTGCCTTCTGCAGCTTTAGAAGAATAAAAGGAATAATGAATGTAAGTCCTGAAAGACAGGAGCAGGATGAGAAGAAGCAGCAGCATGGGTTTCCACTGGGGGCGTGAAGCTTCTCATTAAAGGAGTTCAAACTGGTGTTTTTTTTTCTTCTGTAGCCTTTAAAGCCAAGACTCTTACACTTTCCCATTAAACTGTAATGTTCAATATCATGTATTGCTCATTGTTGTGTCCCTGCACTCTTGGTGCCTTCACACCACACAGTGAACTTTTTTTTTACATTCTGAATAATTTTACTTTCAGTGGAAACCATGCTGTACCATGTCAGTGTATAAAGGCTTGTGTTTTGCATCTCATGTTCTTTTCTTACTTTGATTTAACTAAGTTATTAAATCATATTTCAGTAGTATGGCTTATTATCCTCTTATCCATCCTAAGTTAGTGGCTGAAAAATCCCTTTTTTTTTAAGTCGCTGCTCTGTGGCTTTCTCCCCTCAATACTGACGCACCCAGTAAAAACAAAGCGAGCTCAAGGCTGTGCAGCCCTACAGTTATGGGCCGGGACCGCCCAACCCTTGGGTATAAATATCCCCGACGCTGGATCTATATTTAGTATGTGTTCCCCTTTGAAGAGAGGCCCAGTTTTGTCACAGGAGAAGGTTGCTGTACAGTTCCTCTGTAGCTCCTAGCCACAGGCTGCCTCTCTGATTTTTTTTTTAATATTTGGGCTGAGCTGTTATAATTTCTCCACCAGTCTATCCTTGCCTCAGAAGTCTCATTTACAATATTGATGGTTGGCGTTGTGTGAAAGGACTGATGATGATGGAACAATCACGTCAGCTCGCCATTTATTGGTAAAAGCCAAGCGTCGCCCAAAGGTGCAATTAGAAAACCCAATTACTTTCCAACTATACTTCCTCTGTGGTGCTGCCTGCCTTGGGCTTACAGTTGTTTCTTCTATCACTTTCATTTTATATTAATCCCACCCTGACATGTCTTGTATCTCATCTTGCTTGGTGTGTATTTTCCCATGCCCCTTTTTTCATCTTCAACGTATTAAGTTTCTGCCAAAAATAGATTTTGATGCATAGTCAGAGTTTTCCCTGCTGACACGCATGTAAGAAAAAAATCTGTATAAATATGTCTTTCTGTTTCAAGAAGATATTTTGATGACAGTGATCTACTTTTTTCACCGTGCTTGAATCGAGAGTTTATCTAATTACACTGGAGCGCATTATATTACATTGCATGAGATGCAATATTGGCAGCTTTTTCTGTGGGACTAGGAAAAGTGATTACAGGCCTTTGGCAGGGAAAGGCTAACCAGCAGATGACAGATACAAATGTGTTCAGCAGAGTTTCTCAATGATAGCTTTCACCCGTCTGTGCGGTACGTGACGTCAGCTGGAGTTATTTTCTGAATTCAGTTGTGAGATGTTTACTGGTGCAAGTCCTACGGACGACCACAGATGTATTTATGTATGCAAATAATGAATACCATCTTTCCTTATTTCACCCCTGTGTGCACAAGAACCATTATCTGATGCATATAAAATATGCAGGAAAGTATGGGGGGATTTCCACATATGCCACAGACTAAAGAAATATAAGTCGTTGACCATGATATATTTTCACTTCAAGGTTAAATACATTCCCATTACACAATATAAACGGGAGTTAAAGTTTTAACTTGCTCCACTGCTTGATGTTGATTCGCCCGTAGGTAAAACTTAAATTATCTCATTTACTCCATACACTGGAGGATCTGGTTAAACTGTCCTTAGAAATGTTTCCTTTCCCAAGACTGCTATCTTCGGAAGTTGCCACTACAAATTATCTGCCTCATTTCACTGCAGCCCCCGCCTGTTCTCTTCTTCTACGCCAACCGCTCTCATGTCGCCTCTTACATTATCCATGAAACCCCTGTGGGGTCTTCCACTTTATCATCACTGTCATTTGTTTTCTTCATCTTCCTCATGCACATGCCCAAACCCTAAAGTTTAAATCTAAACTTTGACTTTTTTAAAGACATCACCATTTAGAGACTATTTAGTCCTTTCTTCCATCGAATAGTTTCCCTCCTTCAGGTGTGTATGTCAGTGGCAAAAATCCCTTAGGATTTTTAAAGCATTTCCCCTTTGCCTCTCCAACATCCTTCTAACTCCTCAACCCTATAAAGCTAAATAATTTGCTATCATAATCTCAGCATCTTCAACTCTGCCATGTCCAGCTCAACGGTCCTGTCTTCAATAAAATGCCATTGTCTTCAAATCTCACTTCTCGGCAGGTCTTAATATCATCCTGTTCTATCCAGAAACATCCAGTGTTCAAAATGATTTGGTCAAATCAACAGTGTGGACAGAAAAACAGCTGCAGCACGGCCAAGAAAGGAAGATTTTGGGTTACTGTTTAAAACCCTGAAGACTAATCCTGTCTGTGTTGACTGGTATGACCTCAGGGTTCACGGCTCACCGTGTATGTAGGGATATGTTTATAATTTCTAACTTGAAAACAGATTACGGCTCGAATCCAAATGTGTTTTAAAGGGTGAGGAAAGGAGTTTCTTCCACAGTGACCAAATCGTATAAAAGCCAGTATTGACCTGGATGGCAGATTTATAAAGATGGATGGGACAGAGTTGAATCGGATGTTGGAGGGATATGAGTGGAAATGGATGGGGTTAGCGGCGCTCTGGTGTAATAAAAGAAATGAAAGTAGTAATAGACTCTCAGTGAATTCCATTAGGGACACACTGACACTACACAAGCCATTCATTATGATGATGCCGTGAAGTGAGATATTTCATTGTGGAGCCCAAAGCCTGGTGTTAAAGGGGACGCAGAGGAATGGGTGGGGCACAGAGGTCTGCCTCAGCCTGGTTTACTGCCGTCCTCTCCTGTTTCTATGGAGATTTGAGGCTTTTCAGCCAATCAATCAATAGCAGACATGCTTTTCATTAGAAAACCTTGAGCTTTTCTGTGTGTGCGTTGACAGAGACAAACCCACAACAACCTTGTGTTTGGAACTGAGTCTCAATGGTCTGCGAAAACAAAAACCAAAGGGAAAGGGAAAACTTAAGAACCAAATCAAAATTTAAATGTATACGTTTTTTTTTAATGTATAGTTGGTACAAAGCAAATGAACCTCAGAATAATAACTGTCTGATAAACTTCTGTATTCATTTGGATTCGTTTTCTTTGCTGTCTGCTGCTTCTAATGGCTGTGTCTCTAAAATCCATTGTGTCCTGTTGTAGGTGGGAAGGGAGGAAAGAAGAAAAAAACAAAGGCTGGATCCAAAAACACTAAAGCCAATGGGTCCAGCTGGGCCAATGTCCCCCTCCCTCCTCCCCCTGTTCATCCTCTCCCTGGCACAGAGATGGAGCATTATTCCAATGAGCACCATGACGGAGGAGGAGGGTAAGTCTACTTGGAATAAACACACGTACCAAACAGATAATCTGTTAATGAACATTAATTTGGTGATTTTTACATCTTTGTCTTATATATATATATATATATATATATATATAGGGTTCATAAGTAACCCCTAATGTACATTTTCAACATTGCTTAAACAAACTCTAAAAACAAGTAACTGTTTGCCCACCCTATTGTTGGGGTTTGCAGTAATGAAACAGCAGATTTATTTTTTAAATGTATATCTAACTGTTACTGTTGCTAAGTTGTTTGATAGATTGATTTTAATGCTAAACATAAGCTGCCTGGGTTCTCATCAGAACTGTGGAAGGATCAAAAGCTGATCAAAGGGCCAGATGTTAAACCTGGTCCATGCTGGTCTTCCTGTGGTTCAGGCACAGCAGAATCATTATCAAGATACTAATCAGACTTTGTACATTTTCATACTCCCCGCTTGCTTTTTATATCATACTTTTTACACAGTTGCACTACTGAAGCAAGCTGCTCTTTTACTTTTATTAAATACATTAGGAATAAATATTTGTGAGTACATGTATACCCTTTGTTAAGACCGTTATATTATTTTGCTTCATTTTATATAAAAAATATAATCCATGTCAGGCCGCCATTTTAAATTACATGCCAAAATGAAGGAACAGGCCAGGCTTACTTTCTAAGTTATATATTGAAGAAAACAGTCATCTGCACAAAAACAAAATGATTATGAAACCAGTGCATTTCCTGCTTGAATGGCTGTTCATCCATGTGTGCACTGCGTCTTGGAAACAATTTATTTCAGCAACACTAGCTCTTCTGAAAGAGAACAGTGACCTGTGTACTTTAAATGTCAGGAAGGAAATTGACGTGAATGAGTTCATTCTTGGAAATGTTTACTTATTCAAAAATAAAATTAATTTTTCACAGAAGGAGAGACATTTCTATTATGCATTTTAGTGTTGTTAAGCCATACAGACTAAATGGAAAGAACAGCGAGGCTCAGGATATTCTTAAGTGCTAGCATGTGTGTCAGCCTCTGGTCCATCAGGTGCTACGTCCTCCTCCTACTTCCATTTTCAATCTGGGAGAATCATCTTCTTTAATAGGCTATCTGGCAAATGAAGAGCTGTGTGCACTGTAAATCTGGGTCTGCTCTTAACGGCCGCATATTAAAACAGTTCTGTCCGATGGAGTGTGCGGTGACAAATTTCTTTAATGAACATTTTCTTTATGGCTGATATTATTTCAGCATGTATAAGCACAGCGGTGAGAAGTGAAGCCTGATTGCCTCTGTAATCTCACTCAGGACCGTCATAAAGCAAATTCTGGAAAAACTTTATGACAAGGTCACAGAGCACTGCTATTGTAAAAGGATCTTTTATTTTCATTGATTTTGTAGAAAGTATTCATCCTAAATAATCTGTTTACGTTGAAATAATATCTGTTATATGTTCCAAAATCCAACCAGCAATAGCTGTGTTAAACCAGTGGTAACAAACTGCCGGCCGGGGGCCATTTCATGCCCGTGAACTCCTCACATCTTACCCACAACTAGATGTCAAAAATTATTTTGCCCTTGTGGTATTTGTGTTTTCAGTTTTTGTCTAAAGTGTTAGCTGTCCGCTGCTGTGGGTCAGTAGATAAATTGTGTTGTCTAGAAAGACAAGGGAACAATCCCAGACTTCAGTCGTCTACAGTACATGTCAATCAGTTCTTATAAAAAAAAACTAAAGCCAACGCTGCTCCTGGCAGCTGTGCCTGCAGAGTTTGAGTTGGAATAAAGATATAAAAGAACAGAAGTGCAGCACATTGATGTCTCTGTGAGCGCAGGAGTAAATGTGTGAAAGGAGTGCTTTATTTAGTCGACATCAGGATTATCTAATTTTCCATGTAAGTACTGATCCCTTCATAGCCTCTATAGATTTATCAGGCTGCTCTCTAACACACACATGCATATATACGTCTAAATGAGGAACATGTCGTTAAATTATATTTCCTTCCTCAGATATGAGAGTGATGGTTGGGGCCCTGCCATGCCTGTGCAGACCTATCTTCATCAGGGGATGGAAGATGAGCTGGAGGAGGAGGAGGAGAGGGTTCCCACCCCACCCATCCGAGGAGTTGCCTCTTCCCCAGCAGCTGTGTCTTTCGGGCAGCAATCCACGGCCACTCTCACACCTTCTCCTCGAGACGAGATGCAGCCCATGCTCCAAGCCCATTTGGACGAACTGACAAGAGTTTACCAGCTGGACATGGCAAAACAGACATGGTAAAAACTGTGATAATAAAAAAAGGTTGATCTGTGCACCATCTATTTTGTCATCCATTCAGAAAACCCTAATTTTTTTTACCATTTTTTTATAAAAGTTTTGGGTTTGTTATCACCTGAGGTCTGTGCAGATTCTCAGTCATCCAGGTCTATGTAGAAGTAGAAGGCAACTGGAGTCTCCTGGTCATGTTGTGGTTTGTGCTAGTCACAGGTAACATACCTTGACCCAGGTAATCACAACATCCTGTCAATACATGTAGGTCAGGGCGTGGTCACCACCATTGTTTTGTTTTCAGGTATTCAGCCTCTCTGAGGCTACAGTAAATACCAACACTTTTTCCAGACATGAGTTAAAACAGAAAATCTCTTTCTCTAACTAAAATGCCAACCAACGGGTGTTTTAAACTGTGCCGTTTCCCAGAGCTGTTATTTGTGTAAAAAAGGTCAGACTGTGTCTGATTTATATAGGTATCTGACCGTTAATCTATCTTCTTGTCCATTTTGATAGCTATACTGTTGTTTTTATTAACACACTGAATGCGCTGCTATCATTTTAAAATGCTTATTGTATATTCAGCCCCATGTTTTTTGTTACCTAGATTTATTTCAGCCTCCCAGTGAATGCAGAGGATATAAACACATTTATTGTTCCATTTTAATGGGCCCATGCTACCACTTAGGTGGCTACTGTATTTTACTCGCTCTAAGAGAAACACCTCCTCACCCCCTCCTGTTGTTTACTCCTCCTACTCCTATGCAGCACACTCTGTTGTTGTTGCGCTCATGCAAGTCAGATGAAGGCCATGCTTCATTCTGTCAGCAATGCAGGCAGAAGGGACGACTGGCATTCATTCATAATGGTGAAGTGGGTGGCGGAGGGACAGTACGGGAGGGGGAGGAGGGGTGTCAGGAAGGAGATGTCATGTTAGCCAGTAATGACTATGTTGGTAAGAGAGCATCTCTGACAACACCAGAGGGCCGGTAATTACAACCAATTCCCATTGCAAACCATGTCAAAGACGCTGCACTCCTCAAACAAATGCGGCTGTCAGCGGAGCAGCCACCACTGAGGTGACTGCTCTGTATTGACAGGCCTTGGGAGTGTGCCTTTGTACTGTCTACTGCAGCAATTAGCAGGTCATTGTGTTAGCATAAGAGAGGCATCGTAGAATGATTGGAATTGTGTAGATTTTTTTTTGCTGTTTTGCATATGAAAGCTGTATGTTGTTCACTGAGTATTCCAACATGAATCTCTTTTTATTTCCCTAATGCATTCCCCGTATTAACTGCTATAGGGATCTGGTCTGCTTTTAGTGGTATCAGTGCCTCATCGTTCATAGTAAAAAGAGGTGTGGATATTTGTGTCAAATTTGAATGTTTTCTTGCCTTGGTCAAGATACTGTAATACATGTAGTTTAAAAACGATATATGCTGTACATCAAAAATCCATTTTGTAATTACATTTAATATAAATATATGTTAAATGAATACAGAAACATTGGTAGGAGATTTATCTTGCTTATGTAAAATAACACCACTCATGAACACGTCTGGTTTTTTCATGACCATGTGGTGGAACCAAATATTCACAACAAGGAGCTGAAATAGCGGCTTGAGTCGAGATCTGTCAGTTTTGCAAAAATGCCACTTCAAGTGGGAATGTAAAATTTTCTTCATCAGCCCCACACATTCCTCAGCGTGTACTGCATTCGCATGGAACCATAGGCTAACATTCCACCCCCCGTCTCCCTCCCCAGGCACATGCAAGGAGGATCTCTCCCTCCACAAGCTCCAGCTCCTCCAGTGGGTTACGTGTCAAGCACAATGGTTTCTGACCAGGAGACTGACCTGCCAGATGAGGAGGAGGAAGACGAAGAGGAGGAGGATGAAGGCTATGGAGCCAGGCATCCCCGTGGTATTGAGCACACACCTGGGTCAAGTATGGACAACCTGGACAGCTCTTTAACAGGTTAGGATTTTACTATAGTTCACTCATATGCAAAATATACTGTATATATTTGTATTCAAGCAGTAGAGGTCTAACACAACCATTCTTATATGGTAGAAAATTAATTAAATAAAAAATGAAAGTCGCGACTTCTAATCACTATAAATAGACTGCTACATTTAAATGCGTCGTGTTTACATGATAAATGGATTAGGGTTCATAAAGTGTTCTGCATTAGATCATTTGTATGCAGACTTGCTTTCTAAAAGTCCCCTCACCAAATTTTTCAAGCGCTTTCTGAAGTCTGTAGGGCTTCGCAATTATGACTTAAAAAAGAAAAAGAAAGAAGTAGATAAGAAATCCATGAATTTTAAGCAGAATAGTGAGCGGGAAATTAAGAGGAAAGCAGAGGAGAGTGACTCACACACAAGAGAGCGACAGCCAGCGCCGCCCTCATCTGTGTGGACACCTACATCAGGAGATTTGAAATAAATTTCACGTACGCCATTTTCCATTCCCCACTGGAGGCACCATTTCCATTTTTACAGCTCGCTGGAAACTTTTACAGCCGTCTGTCGGGGGGACATGTGAAGGGCGTGACACTGCAGCAGCAGAGATGGAGTCTGGACTGCTGTGTTCACACTGACCCTCACTCACTGTAGAGGCTGACACTGGAGGGATGTTACACTAAAAGGAAATGCGTGACGTTTGGCTCCTTATACTATATTTGTAGTACATGGGCTTCAAATAGTCTCTTACATTTGTCTTTTAAAAAGATCATAAACACAAATTGAGTGCCTCCTCCAAATGAATCAAGAAAAATAAATGTGTTTAGAGCCTGTGATTATCAAAGTGTGTTTTTGCACATGTATGTTCCAGAGTCAGTTTGATGGAAAGTTTAGGCAACTCAAAATTCTGAACAATTCTAGAATCCTGGCCAGATGCAATTTCCGTGTTTCAAAAAGAGGACAAGAGGTCAGAGTACAGAGTCTCACCAAATAGAAAGACTTGAGTAAAGTACAGATACATTTATGTTACTTAAGTACAGGAATGAATTACATCTACTTCACCGCTGGTCCTGAACACGGACCATCTGCAAATTCGGAATATACAGGTACTGTAAAATAAAATATATATTGGAAGAAGTAACAGACTTATGCAACAAAGAAGTATAAAAAGGAGGTGCTGACAGTGCTGTATGCAGCTTTACCTTGTCTGTGGCAGCCCTGAAGAACAGTTTTCTCTGGGATGATGGAACAGTGGTTTGGGTCGTGCTGACACATAGTTCAACTGATGTATTTAGAGGAATATAAAGCAGCGACCGGCTCCTAATCTACTGCATCTCTCCTCCTCTGTATTACTTTAGAGACGGCACCATTTTTTCTTATCTCTCCGAAAGTCTGCCTCACACCCCATCCTTTGACACACAGACATGGTCCCGGCTTCAGGGTTAGCGGCAGGGAGAGAGGGAGGATAGGGGAAAGCGCAGAGATTTATTGCGGCCACCATTTTGAGGCTGTAGGAACAGGGGAGGGTGGGAGTTAGATCCCTGTCAAGTCATGTGAGATGGATATGTCATTGTTTCAACATTATGGAAATGGCTCTGTTTTTATAATGTAATACCAAAGGCCAGTAAATCAAACATTTTCACTGATTTTCCCCCAGAAAAAAACTAGAGCCGTATCATCTGGGGCAATTTTTCATCAGCAGATCTTCAGTCTACACACAGGCTAGTGTATAATTCTGTGCTCTGCAGTCACACTACATACATTTATTTTTGCCGATGAATGTATAAATGTGGCAGGCGCTTGCCTGTGTGAGTCAGAGATGGAGTAAAAATGCACAGGTGTCACCCAGCTTTCTGAGGAGGTGGTGTTGGTCATGTAGCGCTGAAGTGTGGGAGCAGGCAGACTGTAACAGTGATGACGAGCTGAAAGCTGAGCTGTTCTGGACGATTACTCTCCCATAAAACCTTGCCAGGTTTGTGAGGAGCGAGGTCACATCTCTTGGTGGCAGGCAGAGACGCCTGCTCATCAGGAGGAATGATTTTGCAGCTTAATGACATGCAGATTAGGGTTTCCGTTGCTATAAATCAGTTTTAGTGGCGGCGGGGACCCAGGGTGGGTTTTTACTACCACGACCGTCTCCCATTTACTGGCCTGCCTGTATTGGTGCGTCCAACATGGAGGACAACAGCCTTTGTTTTTCTAAAGGTGCATTTACACCTGGCAGTCCGGTGCTTGAAGTTGGAACAAATTATTGGAAATTTTGAAATTCTGCAATTTACACTAGTTGGGGTTAAATTAACAGAAAATATAATAATAATAATAATAATAATAATAATAATAATTTGGTCGACTGAGTCACTGAGAAGGAAATTCTGGGAATTCTTTAATATTTTATTATGTAGACAATCACTGTTACAATTTGAGGTTTTTTTATGTATTCAAGTGAATTCCATTTTTAACAAAATTTGTAAAACCTTTCAATTCAATATGTCAATTTGCACATAGAGACAGTATGGGACAAAATCCCAATGAGGCCCCTTGTGTTAGAAACACTCAAATATTTAGAGTTTTCAAATGTTGTATATACATTTTATCAACAAGAAATTAAAAATCTTTATTTCCTTGTGTTAGAAACACTCAAATATTTATAGTTTTCAAAGAAATTAAAAATCTGTATTCACCTGACAAACAGTATTGATGTAAATATTTATGAAGGTGAGAACAGCTGGAGATGGTCCTGATTAAAGGGACGCTGGGGATCTAATTTATTTTTATTATTATTACTGATGGGAATGAGCAGACAGGAGGTAATGGAATGCTGTTAATTGTTTTTAATGTACAGCTAATATCAAAAGACCAGAACTATGTGATCAACCGTTGACTGAAAGATTGGGTCCACTCCTTTTGATGTAAATGAGGAAATAAACACTGGTCACTTCAATTTAAGACTTCTGAACTTCCACTGGGCTTTATTTTGAAAGGAAGTCAAAGGGAAACACAGTCAAAGCATTGATTTGGTGTCTTGTGAAGCTGCATTTGAATGAGGCTGATGGTCACTGTGATGCAGCAATGAGATGTTTTTGATTGAACACCTCCTTAAAAAACACATTATGGCCTAGTAATATTTCTTATTACATGACACCACTGCAGAGTTGTAAATCATATACTGACCCACTTTAAAAAAAATTACATTTTGAGGTGAAAAAACATTGACTCTTCATCCAATCTGACTGGACTTTGATTCTGAGAATAGAAGTGCTCCACAGGTGCAGCGGTCGAAAGTAGCAGTTAGCACAACTGAAAAGGTATTCTGTGATGTAATTTGCTGAGGCAGTGTTCCTCCGCTGAGCCGGAGGAGTTGGAAGCTTCTGTGCTTTTGGCTCTCACTGACTAGACTTCATTATCTGCTCTATTCTTTGTGGGAGGATTGGACCCAGTGGAATTGCTGTCTCTCCCTCTCTTCAAGAAAAATGTCTTTGAGGAGAATTTCTAAGAAAATTGCCAGACAAGATGGAGGGCTCAAGGTAGTTACTGCTTCGAATTTCGGCCGCAGTATAGACAGATTGTGTAAGAGGCTTTTCAATCTTACACGAGCTTATATTTCATAGAATTTTCCATTAATCTGTGAGTATTTCACTGTGGTACGGGCGAAGATCTGTTGCAACTTTAGCCAGCAAGAGTGCAATTCTCTGAAGTCCTCCTCAGTGACTGATCGACCAACTCTCTGAGACATGTAGTTGAAGATGAAGAGGTTTACAGATGGGAAGCTGTTGAGACCTCTTCAGTGCGACTTGTGGGTTTTTTACACACGTTAACGACTAGGGGTGTGAATAAGTATCGGTACACTGTTGCGATATTTCGTTTTGCAATACCATTTCAATATCCAAGAGCACTTGAGATGAATCCGCTTTATTCCGTTGAGTATATATATTTCTGCTGTGGTGAGAATCTAAATATTTATGGTGTTGGTTGTTTTATTTTGCATTTATTTTTTCTCTAGATCCCTCTACCTGTAGTATTGCAATATATTGTATCACTGCCCCTGTATCAAATCATGCCCCTATTATTGATACACCTTGATGGATTTTAAATGAGTTTTGTTGCATAGCAGTGAAGGAGAAGTGACAAGGAAACCACGGCAACAGCTTGATGCCAGAGTTGTTGCGCTTGAGTAAAACCGAACTCTTCTTAACCCTTTAATAAGTCCTTTTGTTACCCACTGAACGCCTGTTACTCTCCTGCCACAACCTCTCCCCTCACTTTTACCCACTCCTCTGTTGTAGCAGCCTGTTCAATCACATCACTCTTGTTTTCTGTGTGAGCGGGAGAGACAGTGTGAACAGAGCACTTGGGTTTGAGCCACTCCAGCAAAGTCTGCCAAACCAGTCCCACTGAAAGCTGTCACATTAGCCAACTGCTCTCTGTGTGTTTGCTTGATAAATGCCATATTTTTTAACTTGAAGGCTGATTTTTTCATATATATTTCTTTTAAATGACTGCCTGAGCTTTTACTTTAAAAAAAGAAAGAAATCAAAGCAATGCAAACTATTACAGTTACGTTAAGTGTCAGAGGTTATTCTTGTCTTCTATGACTGCTCCCATAAACACGTTTTGTCATCTTTAATAAAATATTGACATTTTAACCTTTTTCTTCTTTAGCCTTTTTGGAAATAATATTAAGATATTTAGTGACCTGCCCTGTAAAAGTCTGGGTACCCTATGAATTTAATGTTATGTTTAATGGCAAAAATGTTATAAATGCAATGTAAAAAGGCTTAGAAGTAGGTTTCTTGAAGATGTTTCACCTCTCATCCAAGAGGCTTCTTCCGTCCTAACTGACTACTGGGAAGTAGTGGTATAACAACTCTTTCCATACAATATATACCATACTTATATGGGCTGTTTATATATTTGGACGTACAAATGCAGCTTCACATAAATGCAGTAAAACCCACGCTTTACTTTAGTCTATTTTTCACAACCCGACTCCTCGCTAGAGGATTTAAGTAAATTACATTCTGAGATGGCTAAGAATGGATTGTCCTGCTGTGTGACTGGACAAACTAGTGATTAAGTAGAGTTCTGAAGGTATGCAGTAGTTAATTTAAGCGGCCATATTTTCCTCACACCTTTAGCACATCTATAAAAGGAGTTGACCTTTAAATACCGTACCTTTGTAGCTCGACGGTGTGAGACTGAAAGAACAGCTCATTTGTCTGTGGTCGTGCATTTTCCAACATGGATTTAAAAACTATGTGTGAACCACCAGGTGTTTGTTGGATGTTTCATCTGCGTCACCTGAGGCAGCTTTTCTGCTCCTCACAAGTGCTGTCATTGATGCTTAAAAAAAAAAGGAAAAGCTCTTGGTGTGTTTGTCTGTGCGTTGGTGGGTGTATGTGTGTGCATGTGTGTGTGTTTGTAGGTATGTGGAGAACAGGCCAGAACAGAATGACTAAACAAACCACTTACCTGTGACAACTGAAATGCCCTGCAGCAAGAACGTCTAATTTAGGTGTTGAGTTTAATATTACTTCTGGTTATCACAATCACTCATAACTTTCAACCATTCTCATTAAAATGGCAGCTGTTCAGTATGGTGGTTTTATATATTGACAGCGGCTGTTGACACATTGGAGATCTAGATAGAGTTGTGGTTGAACAGCTGTTTTATTTTTAAAAAAAATCCGATCCACAAAGGCAGAATCCAAAAACAACACCTAACACCTGTTGGTGGTGTTCCACAGGGTCCATGGTGAATGGGTGGGGCTCGGCCTCGGAGGATGACCGTTATTTCTCCAGCCATAGGTCCAGTTTGGGCAGTTCCTCCGATGGCTCCATCTTTACCCACTGTAGCTTTGCCCAGGCCCTAGTGGCCGCTGCAGACAAGGCAGGCTACCATCTGGAGGGCACAAGCCTCAGCAAGAGAGGTTGGTGTGAGGGAAACAGCCTCCCATTGCTGCACTGGGTCTTCTACCAGTGGAAGAACAATGATACTTTTCTGCTGTAATTGTTCTTTACTGTCACCCGCTGGCTGTGTTTCACTCAGATCATGTGACTGAAACTTTATTTCCCTCTGTATCTTTTGGAAGCTTTGCTCAGGTTGTGCATGTTGCCTGTTGTTTATGGATGAAATGCAACACAGGTGCAATCTTTAATGCTGACTAAACCATGAGCTGTCACTTTTTATATATTTATAAAGAGCAGGATTTAAACAAAACAAAATATCATGAGTACTTACTGGACTGTAGGACTTGGTGGTTTATCAGTGACTTCTACAACTTTAGAAGACATTGAAAAGCTGTTTGAGGACAGACATAGATGCATGGAAAAAATTGATTTTTAAAATAACTTTTTAAAATTATAACACTTTTTGTGTATTTTTTGTGTTTTAGAAGAATGTTCTGGATAGTGTCCTCCATTATTACAAAATAATTTACATTTATTTCCTATTTTACTGAACTGGAGGTTAATTGACATCTTTTTTTTTTTTTCTCTCCTTGGTCATTGATTTGAACCTAAATCTATTTGTACTTCTTAAATTTCAGCTTATCACTCTAAGGTAGCTCGGACATTTACCTTCTGAACAAAAAGTGACAGTGACTTCAGCTCCTTTACTGAGTATTTTATCTGACTGGATCCCTGACTTTCTTTGGTAAACAGCTGGATGATACACTTTACTGTCTTCTATAGACTTCCTCTTAAATGCTTCCTCTTCTAATGACACTCTTCCAAGGTGTTTTCTAATAGCTCGTGGGATCTTGATTGATAACCTCTATCTTTCTTACTGACAGCATCGCTTCCACTTTCAGTGCTTTTGGCTCCTCACAGTCTTTATTAACCAGCCGGCTTGTGCTCATTTATCCTCCTTGCAGGTAAAGGCTTTTCCCACAGACCCCGGCCCAGCAGTCCATTCTCAACAGATGGCAGCACAGTCGGCACACACAGCTTGGGCCACCAGAGAGCCACCAGGCCCACACGCAAACCCCGAAGCCAGGGCACCGCACCCCACCGGAGGGATGCTGGTGCAGACGGTGAGGCAGTGAATTAAAACATCCCAAATATTTGTTGTACAAAGTTCTAACATCTGTCATACTGTGGAAATAGTTATAATAATGCAGTGTTCACAAATTAATTCATTAGCTTTGCTCTTTGCTTGACAGACCTACCTCCTCCACCTGAGCCTCCGCCCTGCCAGGGTCAGACCCGCATTCAGGGGGCCCGTAGTGTTAGCAACATAGTACCCATCACAGATAGAAAGGCTGCTTCTCTGGAGCGCCCACCAATGTCAGGACCCCTGTGTGTCTCAGATGACATGAAGAACTCCATTGACAGACAGACACGGACTTCTCTGGACCACCATCGTCAGGCTCAAGAAAGACTGGGATCCGTGGAGCGGTCTGATGAGGGGCGCAGGGGACACAGAACAGGTAGAAATCATTTTGTTGATGGTGTATGAAGCTCCAGGTGTTTCTCTTCCAGCAGTGTGAGCAAATAACGACTTGAGTAATGAGTTTTGAATTATGGGTAATTAACGGGCGTGTCAATAAAATGCATTAATAATTATATTCAGAATAATCCTTAAAAATGTATCAGTGTGTAAATTAATGTAATTTTGAATTTCACAATTTTTTGTTATGTGTGGCAAAACAACCTCCATTCTCTGGTCCTCAATCATTTTTTTCTTTCTAGACCATACAATTAGTGCCAAGATTTCTACTAATCCACCCCTTTAAAAATAAAATATTACAAATTTGGTTTTGGAGTGGTTACACATGGGTATAATGATTTTTAAATAGAATAATTTAACACTCAGAATACTCATTCATAAAATATGTCCCAAACTAAATGCAAAATCAGCCAGCAGTCAATTAGAAAGAGAAAGAAAAGGAAAGTAGCTAAAATCTGACAAACGTAATCAGAGAGATAGTTAGAAACGAGATTTTTATAAAAAAGATTTTGTACTTGTACTCATTTTTTATTTAAAAATCAAACGTGTAGTACTCTGCGAAAATTATTAATTAATGCATAATTGATTGTTGCTCTGCCTTTGAAGTGTGAGATTTTCTCCAAGTGGTTGTGTTGAAGTTAGCTCCACGACTGCACCGAGTCTAGGCTCCCATGAACAGATTGCACTGTCTGCCACTCGCTCTGCTTTCCAAAATGCCCCCCTCAGTCCTGCCTCGGCTCCCTAATGCCCCTGTAATTGTTGCCAGTGTTGGCCGACGCCGCTCCACGTACGGCAGAAGCCCTCAGCAACTGAAAGGCTCTCTAATCGCTTCAGCTTTCATTTTTCACGCAGGCAGCAGCAGTGAGTCTACACCCCATCTGCGTGTTGCTGAGTTCAAGTGAATATGCATGTGCATTTGTAACCATTAAAGATTTCCATGCTGTGCAGCCTGTTTCCTTTGAGCTGGGGATTTCTCAGACACTTCATCGTCTGAGACTGGAAGACAAGGACAGGTGCCGCCATCAGCATCTTCACACAAAAAGACTCTGTAGGTGATTTCCCATACGTGTCAGAGTGCTGACTGATCCGCAGCAGAATTGTTGAGGTCGGGCAGAGTCTATGACAGTCATTAGCAGAGCGGTGGGGTGCAGTTTGATGAGATTTCATGCGATGACGGAGACTGCTGAGGGTCAATGTTGTGCTGCCCTGCAGCAGGAGGTGCCACGGCAGCCAGTGGTCGCCCTCTTATTCCATTTACCCCCTCATAAGTTTGGTAGGGCCATGTGTGTGGCTGAGAGTCCAGTCTGTGGCAGGTCCTGGCAGCCAGTCCTGGCAGTGCCACTCTGCAGATGTCAGGAGCAGAGATTGTTCCAAAGTGCTCTTTGCCCTCATGCATCAGATGTTAGATGTGTTGTTCTGCTGCAACAATAAAATCATGTGTGGTGTTTGCTGTCCAAACTCAACGTGTGTGTGTGTTTTCAGAGGAGAGCTGCCTGCCATACAGTAAACCATCCTTCCCCTCCCCTGGTGGACACAGCTCCTCTGGCACGACCTCCTCCAAGGGCTCGACGGGGCCGCGCAAGACTGACGGGCCACGACAGCCGCAGCAGTGGACTGCAGTGGAACACGCTGAATTCCTGGGGACCAATGGACAGTACGCTGGGGAATTATGTGAGTAACTCACTATTTTTAAAGCTGTGAACAGTTCTTTTTAGACATGTTGATTTAAGAGGGAAGTCTAATACTGTTTGCAGTTAATGTAGTGAATCAGAAAAATCAGAAAGTTGTACATAATCATTCATCTTTACAAATGTTCTTACATTTGTATCCTGTAAAATGTTTACAAATCCCAGTTTATCATTAAACAGTTCCAGGTAAAATATGTACAAATTCCAACAAATGTAAAAGTAAGTGAATCCCTTTATTCGCCAAAACAAAACGTCTCTTCTGCCGTTTCTTACAGAGTTTGCTCCCTGGGTAGTGAGCTGAAGAAACCTCAGTCTGTCCACAAAAAAAAAAAAAAAAAGAAAAAATGACGCCCTCACTGTTGGGACAAGAACAATTGTCCAGTGCTGTGTGATCTCAAAGGGGAGGAGGGCAGCACTGAGAGAAGCGGTGTCACAGAACTGTAAATGTGATGTATAGACACAGACATACTGTACATCCCACAATGTTTTTGTGCTCAAGAAAATATTTTCCACCTCCTAACTTGGGTTTTTTGCTCAGAAGAAAAAAAATCAAGTTAAAAAAAAAACAAAAACACAGTTCTGAGGTCAAATTTTCTGGTTACAGCCATTGGGCTAAAAGGGAATCCTGTTTTGTGTAAATATGATCTTTAACCTGTTGTTGCATTGCTATGCAAACCTAATTCAGTTTGAGCTTTTTTTTTAATTCTATACACAGAAACACTTGGTTTTATCTGGATATTTGTATGATATGTGAATTAAGTGGCTGTTGTGCCATAAGAATTGTTTTATAATTCATTGTTTGTTAATAGTTACCATTAATTATTATTGCCATTATTATATTAATTAATTATTGGTTTTGCACTGCAACTTTTGGTGATAAGCACAAAAACATGGCTCCTGCTGACATGAAGAACCAGATGGATATGTGAAGAGGAGTTTCTGTACTGTAAAGAGAAGAAAAAAATATATTCTAATGTACAGAGAGATTTTAAAGAGTTAAAGTTTTCCTGACAGGCAGCAACAAATGAGGTTCCCATTACCATAGTGAGGCTAAAAGGCAGGTGGACACACCAGGTGACTGTGCGTCTAACGAGCAGATAGTCAGGCTGGAACAGTTGTATGCAGATGACACTGCATTGATCGTTGGATTCCTGATTTAATTGTTATGAAATTCTCGACGCATTTAATGTTGATTGTTTCACTCAGCCACAACCATGGTACTGTAGGGCTGTCACTTTTGATCCATACTCCAAAAACTATTTGACTCTAGGTGTAAAAATACAAACAGTTTTTTTTTTAAAAAGTCCTCCCTCGCTGTTTGACGTGATCTCTTTCAGAGACAGAAGTCAGCGTGGTTGACCATTAATCCAGTTTGGGTTATCCATTAATCCAGTTCACTCAAAGAAGACACTGCCATTGTCTTCCTCACTTAATTCCGTGTAAATGTCAATTAAGACTAAATAACAAGAATGGACTGCTAGCATGTTGTGTAGCGTGTGTTCACTATTGATTTTTCAGAAAAAAGTGACAGCCCTTCAGTGTTTTGAGTCTCAAAGCATTTCACGGCGAATGTTCTTATGTTGATTTACTGCCTTGTTAATTTTAGCCACATTTACGTTTATGCTCCTCAGTCAGCAGAATAAGACACTGATGATAAACACGTCCTGCGGAGAGGAGGAGGGGGTGACTGAGGTCTGCCTGCGTGCACCGACAGATTTATGTCTCCTCTTAGGCCTTAATAGGTAAACAGTCATCACACGCAACAGGAGTATTTATTGTCATCTGTCGTAATTATACTCTCAAACGATCAGTGGAGCGATATAACCTGTTTACATCTTTTAGTTTTTATTCCCATTCATTTTTAATATTGTTTGCTTTTTGGAGCACTTACTGTTTTATGTTTGTTATATTATACTGTACAGGGTGATCAGAGGAACAACACTTGGACCTGTGCAGTCCAGTTAAGCTGTGCTCTTAAATGAGATGTTCTATTAAAGCAGCTGTTAGTGAAGCCTCGGTGAGAAAGGTTTACACCTATGTGTCGCTAGGCAGTGGGCGGGCTCTCAACTGCGTTATCTGTGCGTGTTAGTCTGAATTTGGCTTTAGTTTTAAACTAACACAGAAATGTTTTGTTTACCGCATCGTCCAAATTAAAAGCATCCGACACGTACGCGTGTCCACCTTCAGTGGGTTAGCAGACAGCTGGATGAGCAGCTCGGTCTTGTGTAGGTAATGTTGAGAGAACGGAAAACAAAACAAAACGGCCGTGTCTGTGTAGGACTAACAGGCTGCGAGTCAGTGCTGGAACATTCTGGATCAGTAGGCTGGTAGAGCAGAAAAGCCTTGTTTATGAACAGGCAGGTCCAATGTCTTCTGCCACACTGTGGAGCAGAACATTATTGTATCTGCCTCACTGCCACAAACACACACTTTATCATCCGCCACCTTCAATTCTTCAGCCTCTGATTCTTAACGGTTGTCTTTTCAGACTACACTTTTATCGGTTGTTTCTCCGTACGACTTTTATGGATACAGAATCTGAGACAACAACCTTTTTAATATTACTGTTCAGGATTTGTGTGGTTAAATGACTGTTTGTTTGGGTTTTTTTGTTTGTTTGGTTTTTTTTTTGTTTTGTTGTTGTTTTGTCTTTTTCGTACTGCTAATGTTAATTAAAAAAAAAGAGGGGGTGGAAACTAAGGGCCGCCAGACACTGTTGTACTGTTGTTGTCATGCCATTGTCATATTCACTCGGTGGCCAGTGATCTGGAAATGAGGTGCAAAAGAGTATCTCAGGTTATTTTTCATTCTGGTGGTGTTAACGTGTATATGTATATACAGTATATATATGTATACACACATATGTATACACTGTATATCCATATACGTCTCCACTAGTTGTTGACATTATTGGTCACCAAAAAAAAATCCCTCTTATGCCAGACTTAAATTGACTTGGTTTTTGACATTAATGTGCTGTTTCATGTCTGTGAACATTCTCAGTCACACTGGTCATTTTCAAAACCAGAAGTTTAAAGGTTTCCATCTGGACTTTTTGAATTTGTTGAATACTCTCTTCCAAGAGGCTTTACAGATTTATGGTCTTCAACACTACTGAATGAGGCCCATGTCTAAGAAATAGATTGTATTTAAGAAACTCAAAAGTCCTGATGCCTTCAAACCATCTGAGGCTACTGGTTCATACACATCGAGACAAGATGTCAGTAAAAGTACATACCAAATTAAGATTGATATTTCTAACGTCTAATGCGTTTCAGTGTCTCTTTAATACTCTTTTTCTTTAAAATCACGGTGTCATTTTGTATTTATTAAAACTGATAATAAAAGTATATTGTGAAATATGCATAAAGATTTGTGAGATATAAAAATGTGGGGTTTTTTTTTCTCGGTTACTTGTAAATGTTGCTGTCAAAGCCAAGCAGCGAGGCCATAAGGAGGTGACACAGGCACCCTGTGCTCCATGCACGGCCAAGTGCCACATCAGTAGTCGTCCGAGTCACTCGTCGTCCTGCATGTTCACCACACTGCTCCACTAATGTCAAAATGAAATACACTACAAATCCTCGCTGGAGACACGAGCAAAAGAAGAGCAAAAACTTTGCTTGTGAAGACAATTGAGAAAATTTTGGAAGGATGAAAGTACTTTGGCTTTCTCTCTCTCTTTGGTTCATTTTCTCAATATTGTTGGATCTTTGTAGCCTATGTGTGTGTTGCCCTTTTTACTATAAAATGAGATTAAAAAAAGACAAAAAGATCAAAGCTGTTGGGTGAAGTCTTTCTGTACAGTACCTGCTGAGGTGGTCACTTCAGTCCAAAGCCATTTCTACACTGCGGTCCATTCTGCCTTCTTCTTTTCCCTGTGAATGGCGTTCTTTATTCACTTGCATGTCCTCGTCCTAGAAGAGAGAGACAAGAAAACAAAACTTTTTCATTCCATGTCCTGTAAGATACATCCATGTTCTTTTTTTCCTTGTACCTGGATCAGTATCAAATAAAAATATTTTTGAAAATTGAAGAAAAGCTTTTAATTTTCATTCATATATGTTAATGCATAGACAATATAGGCTAAAATACAACGTTAGCAGAAAGACATTTCTAAAATGGACTCAGTCTCACATCCAACATTTACACCTATAGTGTAAACACACTAAAGGCATGGGTGAGATTAGAAATTAGAGAATTACTGTTTATCTTTTTTTTTTTTTTTAATTGTAAAACTCAAATGTGATTGTGGCAGGAGGTCACAGTCTCAGCCACTAATGGGAAACTGCATACAAACATTTGTATATGTGTATTTGTTCTTATATGGATTTGTATATATTTGTATGTATGTGTATGTATTTGTATATATATGTGTATGTATGTGTATGCATATATGTTTATATGATACAAGTCGGCTTCTACAATTGCATTTGGTTTACACAGAGCTCAAAGTAAACAGTAAAAATAGGTGCGACAGCAATTGATCAGACAGCAACATTTAACACAACTCTGTTTGTGCTGCACACTGTAAAAAAGAAAAGAAAAAAAAGCATTTTCTTGATGAGATGCATTTCCCAGTTTCCATATGTATGAAGTGTGACCCCATGGGAGCAGTTGACATGTCGACAGTATACATCACCTGTGCTGGCCTCAAAACCCTGCAATATTTGAAAATATAACGACCCCACCATTACCACCACAGTGATTCGTTTCAATTCCAAGCCAGCAGTGAAAAGTGTCTGCAGTGGCTGTGGTGCAGAGATGCTCACTGAGCAGTGTAATATGTGAGATGGCCTCAGTGTTTTCTACTTAATGTGAAAGTGAAAAAAGCCTTTTTCTGAGCAGCGTATGCGTCACTCATATAGATTGTCACCCACACACCGTGTAGGTGACACACAAAGTCCTGATGTAGTCAAAGAAAGGGAGACTCTGTTAATGCTTGGACGTCAAAGTCTGAATGAGTTGGGGGTAAAAATATATACACAATAAATATACTGTAAAACAATTTAGGGAGCAGTGGCGGTCCTAGTCTATTCTGAGTTTGATCTGAGTCATGATGTAAAATGAGGCATTGTAAAGATACCGTTAACTGTTAAAAACATGTTCTTTTAAATGACCTAAAATGTTTTATAAATGTATACATTTTAAACAGTCCAACCCCAAAAGTAATGGTGCCATTTAATGTCGTAAACTTTTGAGTCTAAACTTGAACATTTTTTCTGGGTGTAAAAGTTAAAAGCAGATGGAACTGTGAGTTATGAGACATGTTAAGAGCTTACCAGGAAAAGATCTCTCTGTGTGTGTTAACAGTTGTCCTTCTCATTATTGGAGAATATTCCTGGACACTGAGGAGAGAAAAATAACATGTGTCCAGGTAAGTGTTCTCACTGTTATTGTCCATTTGTTAATGCCTGATTTAATCAGAAGCATGTTTTAGGACATAGTCTTGC